TTGAAAGTCCTTTTCTGAAAAGGAATTTATGTTCCAAGTACCCGAATCGAACCTCCACCCTTAGAGTTCCGCCGATCCAATGAAAACGCAAAGTCATTTTTCATATTATTGTAAAATATTTTATTTGGAGAAAAAATAAACTACAATTGATGTATTCTCACATTTGTTAAAGATTTTTTAAAAAATATTCTAAGCTATATAAAGTTTTGAATATACAGATATGTAAATAGATATAATTGATATCTGCATTAAGACTCGCTCAAGTTTAATTTGATAAAAAACTATATAATGATCTACTTGGCTAATGTTTGATCTCAGATAAAATGACAATCAGAATTTTCAATTTCATTTTAAACAAAAACAACGGCAGTTCTAGCTGTCTCACCCCACACCACCGCAGGAAAAAACAAAAGAAACACTCTGATATGATAAATGATGATTTCAAAAGTCACGAAAAAATTCCAAATTGCCAAGAATTTCAAAATGTGACACGCTTTACAAATAACAAGTGTCTGCCATTGTTTTTGTTTCATTTTAACCATAAGGTGCTGTGAATTTATTTCACATTAAATACGACATAAAATTCCGACAGTAATTACTTGGAAGAAAAAAACGTTTTTACTATGTTTTGCAAGAAATTATCACAAGCAGTTTGTGAGATAAATTTCAACATTTAACAGCAACCAATACGTTCAAATACTCTACTTCAACGGGTAATATAAAAAAACAGATCCCCTAGAGACATTACTGAAGAAAAATATTTGCCATTTAATTGCAACATGTGTAATTATCAAACCTAGGCAAAATGGAGGGACAAATCATGGTATTTCTAATAACACATTGCATTTATATTTTAAAGTCGAAATTATGTAACAAATGTTTTGTAACTTTCTGAACATAATGTTCTCGTACAAGAATACAAACACAATTTCTGCATTTGCTGCTCGATATACCAGTACTTGAAGATGCTGCCGAGATAGAATTGCTAAAAGGAGCAGTTTTGAAAATAGGACACTTTGGATCACATGACTGTTCCCTTCATCTTTATGCAAAAGTGAGATCTGTTCAACAAATTAATGCCACAAATACAAGTCATAATAATCAAATAGTTACAAAAAATATTACACATACGACTCACCTTAACTTTTTAAAAAAATGGTAATATAAAGATGAGCAAATTTAGCAAACAAAAATCGTTTTATATATCCACGGTCATTTTATGCACAGTTTAGCCGGTAGTGTTGGATTAGCCAAATCAGTTTTCAACTACATGTACTTTTCACAAATTGAGCCATAAATGTGTGAACTTTATATACTCCATTACTCATACAAATTATCGATTGTGGTCCGTAAAAATGACACTTTTTACTCAACAAGACAGCAAGTTTCCAAGCTTCAAAAGATGATACAGATACGAGTTAAAAATAACTAGATTTTGAGTCACGCTCGCTATGTAGTTGTGAATTTCACACGGGGCGATAGAATAATAAAAATTTGGAACCCCAAACGGGGTTTTCAAACAGTTTTTGGACAAAGGTAACCTAAAGGGAAAATTGCTGAAATTCCAGATTTTTTTTTTTTTGGCTTTGGTCTATTCCGCATTGCATGCCTTCAAAATTAAGAATTTAATTAAAGGAGTGAGTGAAAATATTGTAAGTTCCGATTGACGGGTGAAATGCTCGCTATGTAGAAAATAAAAAACCTGAATTTTTAAAAACTTTTGATAGGATTTTGTCAATTAAGCATTAAACAATATTAAAAAAATGGATTGAATTCATTATGTATCATTTGTAAGATCAATAACGTAAGACTGCTTCAGTATGATTTATTTCTCTTTAAAGCATTTTAAAGGATGCGAAAAAGTGACATATATCACCAAACGTGCAAAATTACGTGAACAGTTTTCAAGGTTCTTTTTTCTTTTGATGAAAAATGAAAAGGTCAAATTGCGCTTCAGTTTTCCTGGACTAGAAAAATGAGGTTTTTTTTTTTTTTTTTTTTTTTTCACTACATTTGCAGTGAAAGAAACTTAACGTCACAACTTGCTGCCTTGCTGAATAATACCGCAAATAGTTTTACAAACGTCACTGAGGCAAACTTAGATTTACAATTATAGTAAAACGTGTTTAAAGGCATAAGGGGCGATTTTATTCTTTGGCGAAATAAAACAAGTTTTGTTACTAATGACTACGCAGTGTTAAATATGCTTCGTTTTTTTTTGTTTTTTTTTTTTGTTTGTTTTTTTTTTCAAAAGGCTTTAAATTTTGGAGCTAAAACTCATGATAAATTGCTTTGGACAGAGCATTTTGATTAGGCAACATGATATTAACATTAGCCATAAATGAGAAACATCAAATTTACGTTCAAACATTACTTGGAAATGGCTCTAGCAATTCGCCCGCTATGCCTTGAAAATGGTTGCTTTCATAATCAGTCACGCAGAAAGCAGTGCAACTATTAACTAGGTCACATACTTCACATACTACATAATGTATTGAAATATTACATATTATATATGGTACTATTTGTGATATCATGCCAAAATTCGAAATGGACCTTTATCCTGTTCTTAATTTTCAATTGTGAATATTTTGTTGTACATAATTATGACACAATCTTATTAAAAACAATTCATTTCAAAAGCCAAAATTTTAAGAGCCACTCCACAGAATTTTCCCCATCCTGACTATTTCGCATGTAAAACTTAACTGTCACTTCTAATTCTACCGATGTAGTTTAAAATTCTTTATAGTCAACATGAGGTACAACCGCAATTTTCACTGTCATGAGGTACGTGATGAAATAAAGGAGGCATGGAGGTCACAAAATGTCACGTGGGGAAAATAATGAAGGATGGCAAAACCCAATGTTCAACATCATCAAAACCATTTTTGAAATGCACCACAAATCAATTTTTCGACAAATACCTAAACCCATTGTCTTACAACGTTTCGTTGAATCGGTTAAACCTGAAATATCCATATACTTGGTATCCTGACCGCCTAGCATCCACACCCTGGTCACTCAGAACTGAAGAAGACGTGACATCATCTTCCAAGGGTTCAGGTTTCAAATGACGCATCGGGGTAGTAGGCAGGAAGGGCTAGGTGACCTCCCTTTCTATTTATCAATTACCATAATTTGACAGACAAAATTTGATTAATAATGTACTAAAATAGTAATGCTCAACAAGCTTTTGTTTCCCACATATTAAAAAACCCACTAGATTAAATTAATTAAATAAAGCTTCAGACCCTTACACACCCCCAAAGTAAAATGGCATTATGTAGGTCACTGGCTCTCCTTATATGGTATACAGTATGCTGCAATATGAGCAGTTTTTGCCAGGTTTGACAAACCGAACCGTTCTATAGCGCCATCTGGAGGGGAACAGACATGATATTCTCTGCTGCAATTGGTAGCTTAGCAGATTGTTTTACTGTGTGTGTGTGTGTGTGTGTGTGTGCACGTGCTTGTTCGTGCTTAACCTTTGAACAGCGCCACAGAAATGGCGATAATAATCCAATCCAAACTAACATATATACAAATAAAGTACTAGTCATTTATGAATACAACACCAAAAGCAAATGTTATCTACAAACTGTACAGGCATCATCTCTGCTCACGGTCAGCTGTCATTTTTTATCTGTTAATTATATAAATCCAAAAACCATGTAAAACGACGTAAAATACTTCACCTATCTACGTACCATAATGTAAAAATGTAATGATAAAATAAAAAGAAACATTATTAGAATAGGATTGAATAAATGGAATAGTCTGAATGGATAAACTATCAAAATCGACCAAGTAGGCCTACATGTACTTGTATCATAACCAAATTAAAAAGATAAAAACTTGATGCACCAAACTGATATATTTCATTATGAAAACTTCCCATAGTTAAACAAAACTCCGACTAGGCTATAGCTATGCAAGGCTACCTCTGAGGAAGCCTCTGTCGATAGAGCAGCACCGCCGACTACTTCTGCAGTGGACTGGAATCCAATAGCCTCATTATCTAAAATAGCAAAAAAAAGTGTGTAAAATAAGCGTCTTTCGAAACTCCCTACGAATAAACCTTGCGGGTGGGGAAAAATATTGATGAAGATGAAGTATATTTTCAAACACTGAGATCCCACAAAGAAGAGAATGCATTTGTATAAATATAAGATTAGCGGTCTTCTGTTCTCAGTAGTCTGACCCATGCTTTTGGTACCATCGAATCGGCTGCTGCAAACCTTGTGGTTTCCAGCCCAGTAAATGGAGGTTTGACGACTCGAAGACGTTGTGGGAGTCGTTATACGGACGGTCCTTCCTGATTTCAATATTGAGCGGTTTTCCCCAGAGTCCATGCATGGTTATGGCCATTACGGAGTGTTTGTTGCTCACAACGATGTTGTAGATATTGCCGATCGTCCCCTTGTGTACATGTAGGAAAAGATCAAACTCGGGTGGAGGATGTTTCGTTCGTTTCGCCCGTCGCCGTAAATTGGACAAACTTTGTCGTCTGTGAAAAATGGAAACAAATTGGTTTCTCAAATTTCTCCTTTACCTGCGAACACCATTCAAACCGACGTTATGGCACTGGATTGTAGCCCATACACTTGTGGTCGTATTTGCCGCTTTTCGTGATAAAATTTTGCTCAGGAATGAAGACAACCAAATAAAAATATCTGGACGCGTTAAGCAGAATGTGCCTTGGCCTTTCCGAAGTCCAGTGTCTTAAAATTTACCGGTCTGAATTTAGAATCACTGGTCCAAATAAAAATTTCAATCAGACTGGACATTTATCTCTATTGCAAATTAATACTAGTAGTCGGATCTTTCCGGAAGAATTTCCCTCATGTAATGCACTCAAAATATTAATTAAAAACTTGCAGAAAAACGTATTTTTAAAGAAATATCTACAGGCCATGTCAGACCACTATATTTATACTACTGGCCACACATTTATAAATATATATGAATGTACATAAAAACACATTTGGACTTACTAATATGCAAATTTATTGAAAAGAAAGTAATCCTTGTAGTCAAATGTATCCAGTATTTTCCACTTAGGAAAATAAGTTGCTGGTTCCGACATAGAGCTTGTCCAAAAAGATGCTAAACCAAACATCCAACGGTTGGGCGTTGGGGCGGGGGACAGAAGTCCCAGAAGACGGCTTTCATCTGCCCTGCTGATATAACCAGTGTGAAATACCACAAACAAAGTCCTAATAAACGGTCCATTGTTCATTTTCATTCTGTTCATATCAATATCTGATTAAACTCCTGCTTAAAACAAAGTTACACTTCACTTGAATAAAAATTTTGCTGACTCAAAAACATTTGCTGATTATAATCTATATGAGGAGAGGGGCCTGTATCTACGCTCCACTCTGTGTTCTATAAGCCTCGCTCTGTAGGACATTCAGCACTGGATTTTGTAGCCCACTCTGTGGAACGTCCTGTGAACATGCTTTTGAACAGTTCTGAAAGGAAACAAATATTCCATCTTTATATTTACAAATTCAGTATTTTTCACATATTTCCAAAAAATATCTAGGAGTTTTCATCTTTGATAATACTTCCACAACAATTCAGCCTGTCAGAGTTACGAAGTTACAGATGCTGTAGTAGTGATCAGTTTGTGCTTAGTGCTTATCAAACTCCTGTATGCCCTCAGAAATTAATTTTAGACATAAGAAAAAAAGATAGGAATAAAAATTCAACTATTTCACACCACCCATTCTACAAAGATATGCGTATCCTTTACAAAATTCAAAGGCTAGATTTGCTGGCTATAGCACTCATCTAGTGGGGATTGCTTACCGATATCTGGTGCAAGTTCTCCAGTTGAACCTGCCGCAGGGTATGGTGTAGGCCTCCTTCACTGGCACCCTGATTGCTCTGCTCTCCATCTTCAGGTAAGTCACTGTGGCACAGGATCTACAATTGATTCAGAGGTAATATAATTATGCTATTACAGAAAAAAAATGAAATCTTTGGGCCATACCATCAGAAAAGATGGAATAGTAAAATGGGTGTGCAGTGGGAAATTTGAAGGAAGAGGCAGAGGAAGACAAAGAACATATTACACTGAGAGCCTTAATGCAACAAATTAAACAATTGCACAGTAACGAGCTCATTCAACTGACTGAAAACAGAGTAAACTGGAGGACCATGATTGTTGATAACTGCACCAGGCCTTGATGATTATGATGATGATGATAATGATGTTATCACAAAATCTGGCAGAGTTGATCCTATTTTAATATATGGTATACCTAATTTGTTGCTATAAATCCCTAAGATCAACAAAAACTCACACCTTAAAAAATACCACTCCCAAGTCCTTTGAGAGGTTAGTTGAGCAAGAAACCTGTAAATATCTTGAGAGTGTGTAACTCATCTCTGCAGCCTTTCATGAAAATTAGCATATAGACTTTACCTAAAATATAACCTGCCTTCTTTTTCTGTACAAAGCTTATGATAAAGATCCTTGATTTGCATGTATATCTATGGACCAAACATAAAAGATCATTTCAAAATTAAAATGTGGCCAGCACCTTCATCTTAGTCAATTGCCCTATCTCTAAAGTTTCCTATTAAACTGCATTCCTTTCCCACAGAAAGCTTATAATATATATTCTTCATTTTTATTAAATTAGCCTTTTTGGTTGTACAATCCAAGGCATCTTCACAACAAATTCTGAAAAAAATTGTTTCATAAATTCCTACCTGTGTTCACATCTGAACCCGCGTGTGCCTTGTGGACAGTCGCACCTGTTGCCATAGTGACAAGTGCCGCCATGGAGACAAGGTGGTCTACAGACACTTGCAGTGCCTGGAAGTAAATACAAGATATTAACATATTTGGTGGATTGGACTGTTAAAATGTTTTTCTAATAGCAATAACAGACCAAGTGTAATACCTGGAAAGAAAAATCATTTACAAGTAAAAATGAAAATAAAATTGCCTTAACTTGACTACGATTGGAATATGGAATTTTACTTTTATTTATATCTGCTTCAATAATATTTTGTCTCTCGAAGAAAATGGGAGGGCCTAAAATGTGATGCTGTGCCAATATTTGAAAAAAAAACTTACTCTTCTCACACCACCGTCCACTGTGTCCAATGGTACACTGACACCTATTGTAGCCAACACACTGACCACCATTTTGGCAGGAAGGAATGCATACAGGGGGTGCTATAAGACAAGACAGGATGAAGAAAGTATAAGTGAAACTTTCTAAATGATTCTTATTAACCTTGGCTAAATGGCAACATGCTCAATTTCAAATACGTACATAAAGTGCACTTTAGAAATTTTATAATTTGCTAAATTAATATTCTTCATTTTCCAGGATATCAGTAAAAAAATGGCCAATTTAAATCTTATGTCATCTGATGGGAGTTTCTTTCATATCACTTAGACATGAACTAGTCCACATTTATCTATCTTGTTAGAACACATTCTATAACTGACCATCCTGGCATCTTGGTCCACTGTAGCCTTCCTTACAGATGCAGACATTCACCTGGGAACATATCCCATCATTCTCACAGGGTGGTGTGCACTGAACTGAAATACGATAAAAAAATAATGTATTAATTCCTGAATTATGGTAACGAAGGATAAGTATTATGTAGAAAATGTGTTTTATTGGGTTATATTTATAAAATTAAAATAATATCAAATTGGTCTCCTTTTTGGGCAATTCAAAACAGGGTTCAATGTAATCTTAAATCTGGAATTTCATTTGTTTTCAGGTCTTAACATGTTCTTCATAATCATTATTATAAATCAAATCATGATGGTGTGCTTTAATCACTTTTTGATGAAATGACTCCATCAGAGGACATCAGCAATGATCTGCCAGGAATACTACAGGCCTGTAGCAAGCAATTGCAAAAGGGGGGTTCTTTTTCTGAAAAAAATGGACCTTTTAACATGTTACCTTCTTGTACCTAGATAAAATTTTACTCAGAAGAGGCCTTTTCCCAGCAGAAAGGGGGGGGGGGGGGGGTCTTTCAACTTCCACCCACCCCTCCCCTGGCTAGGGGCCTGATATTACTGGCACTTCACAGACAAGAGAGACAACTCTTCTTCTAGTACCTGTCTGACACCTTTCCCCAGTGTAATCAGAGTGGCACTGACAGGTGTCTGGGGCAATACACTGCCCTCCATTTTGGCACACTGGATTACAAATGGCTGAAAAAAAAACAAACAAACATTTAAAAACTTGCATTTTAATGCAAATTTAAAATAAAAAAATCTGTATGGTTAATATTTTAAATAAATGTGCTTTCATGCAAAATCAAAAACAAATAAATAACCTCTTTAACATTTTTCTAAAATGATTGACTGTTATTTTGCCACTGGATAGAACACTGGATACAACATGTCTAACAATTATAAGTTTAAAGACAGCTTGACAAAGACAAACAACAGCATGTGCCACAAAGGCAATATTTTGCTTAATCACTTTCTTGTTGATGGAATATTTTCTATTTTTCTTCATGATAGGCATGTCTGAAAACTGACCAGTAAGACATCCGGGCCCAGTCCACCCTGGTGGACATATACACTGGTTCCACCTGAGACAGGTGCCACCATGGGCACAGGGAGGGTTACACATGGGGGAGCAGCCAGGGCCAGGGTACCCTGCAGGACACAGGCACCTGTTGGGAGCCACACACTGGCCGTAATTTAAACATGGCGGGCTGCAGACAGCTGAAAATAAAACAACCAAGATGAAAAAGTTTGCATTAAACTTCTGTCTTTTGATACTACTTTAACAATAATTTCAAAACTTTTTGTTGAATCAAACTGAAAGACACAAATTAAAAGTTACTGATTAATACTGAGTATATAATAATCACATCGCAGTGTTTGTGAATTTTTTTCTTTGCAGAAGAATTTGTTTCAATTTTTTTCCATTTAGGGAGCATTCAGATACATTGCACTAGTTGGGTCAGTTCAACTCTGCTGGGGCTCTCGTTAAGTGCAATCGGTTTTACTGAATGGTCCGCCTCCTTAAGCAGCTATGGGGTAATTAACTTTCAGGTTATTTCAGCTCACTCCCCCCCAACTGCTCAAGGTGACATGTCAGACAATTAAGCTGATTCCACTGATTGCAGTTAGCAAGAATCCCCGCAGAGTTGGACCAACCAACTAGTACAATGTGTCTATCTGAATAGGGTTTAAGTCTCTAAAATATCAATCTGTAAAATAAATACTAAGTAAATCATAAGTGCAGTGGTAACCCTCACAAAAATCATTTCCACACTTTGAAATATTAATCATTCCATTTTAACTCAACATAATCATAGGCAAAATAATTAACTGTATTCGCAAGCTCATACACAGTACACCTGACACAAACTAACCTTGACACTTCCTAAAGTTGTCGGCTACAGTGTAACCTTGGAGACATGTGCATCTGTAGCTCCCTCTTGTGTTGACACACAGCTGCTCGCAACCGCCATTTACATCCAGACACTCGTTAATATCTGAAACATTTTAAATATGTGTTCTTTATTACTGTAAAATCACCCTGGTGTTTCACAGCACTTGTGGAAAGTAACCTTTCAGTTGCATCACCTGCTTTCTGTCACCATTTTTAGTACTTTTACAAAAATATTAATATCATTTTCACTCCTGTCAGCATTCAGTGTATGCAAGAACATGCTGTTGCCAAGATAAGGGTCACCAACAAAATAAAAATAAAAATAATAATAAATAAATAAATAAATAAATAAATAAATACTGGGAAGATGTAGCACCAATTTTAAAAGACAATTTGAATAAAATATCAAACATAAAAATGTACCTCGCATGTACCTTGGAAACAAACAAACAAACAAACAAACAAAAAGCAAGACTGAATAATAAACCCTTAATGAGCTGAAATACTGCTTATAACACTGTTAATCCTTCTCTTCTACTTCACCTGTGCAGGTGTGTCCATCTGTGCTGAGTGTGTAGCCAGGGTAACAGGAGCAAGACACCTGGTTGTCCAGTGTCATCCTACACACCTGGTCACAGCCACCGTTCTTGACAGCACAGCTTGAGATACCTGAGGGATAGAGATCTGATGTAAAAAATTCTATACAATATGAAAAGAAAAGATGACATTATGCTTTAGTGTTTAATTGCTGTTTAAGTTGATCTAACTCTCACGTTTACTGATACTATTAGTTTCAGATTGCAAAAAATGAAATTCATGTCATAAATCATCTCCAAGCAGTTGTAAACAGCACATTACAAAAGATAACACCATACTTTATATTTTAGTAAAATATATTTCAAAAGTCTGAAAACAATTTATTGTAAAAACTATATATAATTTTTCATAATATCCAGCTGTTATTTTATGAAATAAGTTCATATAGAAAGTAATACAGCATTTCAAAAAGCAGGGCCCTGTATCTCGAAAGCATCGCGTATTGCCTATCGCTATTTCGAATAGAGGCTACAATGTAGTATATGGGACGAGTATGGGCGAGTTATGGAATCAAGACGCTTGCGCACGTGCGCAACATAGCAAAGCTTTCGAGATACGTGGCCCAGGTCTGTTTGAAACAATAGAAAGTAATCAATACCAATCATTTGAATTGCTTTTTATCCAAAAACCTTCACATCTTTCAAATTCAATCCCAGATCTTAAAGTACATTAAAACATGCTTCCGATTTTATATGATGACTGTGCAGTTCATCTTACCAATACATGTCTTTAGATCATCAGCAAGAGTTTTCCCACCCTGGCAACTACATTTCATACTTCCTGGCAGATTGATGCAGATGTCTTCACAGCCACCATTTTGGATCTTGCATTCATCCAAATCTGCAATAGACAATAAATCATGATGAAATACAGACTTTGGGGAACATGTTTATTTTTGCATATAAAGAATTAAAAAGGAAAAAAAACATTTTAATAATTTGTGTGATAACTACTGACTTATCATGCAGCATGTAAGTGAAGCCTGGAGGACATGAAAATGTTCCGACTGACCCCTAAACCACGTGGTTTCATGGAACCCTATACTAGTACATCCAAACATCATCATTTCTAAGCAGTGAGCACACTTCTTTGTAGTTTGTCATAACACTAAAGAACCATTGATTCCCATAACCCAATTGTATTAGCTGAATCGATCTAACTCCTCAGGAATTTTTGCTAAATTGCACTCAGCTCTGGGTTAAGTCAGGAAAACTTTGTGGTCCATGATGTTGTTCATGTTGCTTTGCGAGGGGGCATGCCAGACAATTAAGCTAATGACATTGACTGTGGTTATGGGAACGCAGTCTATCAGTAACAAGGATCATTTCTGTTAAGGATTTTTATGAAGAAACATGCAGGAAACAAATCACTACAAGTTTAAGAAGGACATGGGGAACTTGTCTCGTGTCTCTGCTGGTGCAGTTATGGGAACCCTGTCTCACAGTAATAATTACGGATCATTTCTGTTAAGGATTTTTATGAAGAAATGGCAGGGAAAACATCACTACAAGTTTAAAAAGGACATGGGGAATTGTCTCTCTATCATCAGCATGTCTCTGTTGGTGCTGGAAGTGGGAAGGTGTCCTCTGAAACTCTGGTTTGACAAACCAATCTAAACTTGCATCCAGCTTTGCCATCACAGAACTATTCTGCTTATAATGGGCAAGTAATTATTGTATGCAAACACAATTAATAATCTTATCATGAACAATTTTCACTAAAGCTTCCTATATAGAAAATAACACATTTAGTTTTATTTACAGAATAATATCATCTACATAGCATCATACTGAACTTTCACATCCAACGAAATATTTTGAACCATAATTTTAACATAAATGAAAGTTGAAGAAAAACAAGCAACATGCCATAACAAAAATGCGTAAGAAAAATAACTGTGACGTACAAACTGTTCCAGTAGTGTATGCATTGAATGGGGTGGACCACACCTTCAGCTTTTTCAGTTTTCATCAGGACTTTCAAATTTCTTTTTAGTGCAAGTCTTTTCATGTAGTTCAGATAGTCTCTGTTCATTTATCCCTGAGTGGTATAATAATTTCTCCAGTGTGAATCATTTCATTTTTATTTTTATTTTTTGCATTCCAACTAAGGAGTTAGATATGACCAAAATACTAGCATTTTTTTAGAATTTAATAACACGTACTGTCATCAGTCTGCTACAATTCTGCATCATCATGTATTTTTTGCTATAGTGATGACATTAAAATGGTCTTTCTCCAGTGTTTAAGGCATTCATGAATTACAAGGCGCTCCATGGTTGAAAATTGCTAAATGTTTCTGTTCTGCCGAGATATCATTCTTATTTTCTATCACCCTGATATATTTGCACTTGCCTCATTACATGTTTCAAAATTCAACTTCTCTCCAGTGTGAGTCTTTTCATGTGCAAGACAGTGCTTTTTCTGTGTATAATATTTTTCACAGTATTGACATTTAAAGGGTCTTTCCTCAGTATGAACCCTTTCATGCATAACACAATCCCTTTTATCTGAAAATTTCTTGCCACAATACAAGCATATGAATCGTTTAATCCCACTGTGGATTCTTCGTTCATGATTCGTACAATTTTCCTTCCTTACAAATGTTTTGCCACAGTGACAACATTTGAATGGTCTTTCTCCAGTGTGAAACCGTTCATGAACATCACGGTACAATCGAGTAGGGAACTGCTGATCGCAGTAGTGGCACGGGAAGGGTTTTACCCCAGTGTGTTGAGTCCTTTCATGTAATAAACAAGTTGACCTTTGCGTAAATGTTTTATCACAATATTTACATTGAAAAGGTCGCTCTCCAGTGTGGGTTCTTTCATGTTCTACACACCGCGATTTGCTGTCGCATTCTTTGCCACAGTACTGGCATTTATGCACTGCTTTACCATGATGGCATTTTTCGTGCCTCTTAAAGTCCTTTTTGCTATGAAAAGCTTCACTACAAAGAGGACATTTATACAATTTTATAGTATGAATCTTTTCATGTCTCACACAGTCAGACTTTCTGGTGAAACTTTTGTCGCAATGCTGACATCTGAAGGTTTTTTGGCCTGTGTGAATCCTCTCATGTGAAACGGCTTGGTTCTTTTTTGCGAATGTTTTATTGCAATGTTGACATGGATAGGGTCTAAGTCCAGAATGTGTTTTTTCATGCTCTTCCCAATTTAGTCTCTTTGCAAAAGCTTTATCACAGAATTTACATGAGAATGGTTTATCTGTATGTGTCTGTTCATGTCTGATGCATAATGTTTTTCTGGAATAGCTTTTAGTACAATGTCGGCATTTGAACTGATTACTCCCAATTTGACTTTTATAAAAACGACCTGAATAAACACTCCTTCTTTTGCACCTTTTATCATCTTGTTTGTGTTTGATGGAATTCTGTTTAGTCCTGCCTTCCACAGTTTGAAATATTCCTTTTTCAGCGGAGGAATTACTTTCAACATACCCAATGTCAACATGTTCAAGTTTAATCAACATTTCACCGTTGCCAGGTTGCTTGGATAGTCTGTCATTTTCTTCATCTTTGTCCGATTCAGTATCAGCCTCTTTGTGATGGTCTGGTTCTGTCAGATCATATTTTTGCCAAAATTCTGATTGTGTTCTGTTAAGAATTTTGATTATTTTATTTTTCAAGTCAATGTACTCCTTCTTAACCTTGACCAGCTTTTTCAGCAAATTCAGGCATGTATCACAACATCTACTGGATTTTGATTGCTGACCCTGTGCTGATTTTTTAAGTTCTATGATCTCATGTCTTAGTGCAGGATAAGCTGAAAGATCCTCATGCTTGACCTCTGGCCCTGATCCACAAATTACACATTTTAATTCTAGATCATGTGCCATATTATTATCAGGCAAAGGAACAATTGCAAGTTGAACGGCTGGGAGCGTGGGCCCAGTACCTAATGCACCGTCAGTTCCCGCAGTATTCAAACTTTCACTTTCACTTGGCACAGACATAATAACAGACCCTGTATAAAATCTAGAGCTGAGAACGGTGGAACTGCTGAGGCCGAGTTTTCAACTTCACTTGCAGGTAGTCGCAAGTTCTTGAAACAGCGTCCGAACCGGTGGACACAGAAGCTAGTGGAAAGAGCGCCCACTTTCTGCGCTTAGTCCTTTCCTAGCTGGTAAACGTACACCGACATCTGTCTATTGATAAGTGAATTTTAAAAATCTGTGATGGAAAAAATTACTTCTAATGAAATACACGTATAAAGGAAAATGAGAGTAAACCGATAGTACTTGCCTACAAGAGAAGTCTTGCTTTATTTTCGTTAATACGGCAAATCGATTTGGTAAAAAATATATAGACTACATAAATCTATGCAAACAGGAAATGATTCTGCGTAAGTGGATACTACTGGTGTGTGTAAGGACTTGGTATATTCAAAAGCTTGTCTTGGAAGGCATGAAGCAATAAGAGCAGTGCAGTTGTGGTTGGTTGGTTGGCAAAATATTTGTCGATTACCTTTATGTGCAAATACCTTTTTATTTACATTCTATAATAAAATGAAAAAAAAATACGTTGTGCACTTGAACATTTTAATTAATTATTGTCATTTTCTTATTTGTTCATTTACTAGTTCTTTACAGTAGGCAATGAACTCATTTCATTTTAGCAGCATTGGGGATGATGAGAGGTTAATTTGAAAATAATAATAATAATAATAATAAATAACCACAAACCATGGTTTGCCCATTTAATTTTTTTATATTTATCTCACATTATCTAGACAGAAATATAGACAAATAATACTTCTCAGTCTGTTTTCATGATACAGTACAGTACCATATGCACTTTTTTTGTTTTGTTTCACTTCTACCTTCTAATCAGGTTACACATTATAAATAAAAGAATTACTTAATAGAAATATAGGTGATTCTATTGCGTTATTATTGAACCAATAAAAAGGAAGAAAATTTCTATTCAAATTTGTAATAATAATAATAATAATAAATAACCTCATCATGCATAATATCAAATTAAGCAACATATGGTATGGGACGTTTGAGACTGGCCTGTTTTAATGCATCTTTTCATTGTTCACAAAAAGTATCATATGTCACTACAGTGTAAAATACATATGTGTGTATAAAATATCAACAAATCTTGTCTGATTAAAGTTCATTATATCTTTCCATTTTCTTCTTATGCTACTAGTTTTCTTTTATAAGAATGGATGGAATGAAGTATCTGTTATCTACAGTTAAATCCTGTCTTATTTTTGAGTGCCTACATTGAAGAGAATGTTTACATTCCAAAAGTTTTTGTAAAACCATTCATTTTGTACATGAAATTTTTCATTAAAGTCCTTCACGAGTAAGCCATAGTGAAAAATATAAAATTTTCTGAGGTCCTATATAATTGGGAGGGTGGGGGGNCACAGTAGTGGCACGGGAAGGGTTTTACCCCAGTGTGTTGAGTCCTTTCATGTAATAAACAAGTTGACCTTTGCGTAAATGTTTTATCACAATATTTACATTGAAAAGGTCGCTCTCCAGTGTGGGTTCTTTCATGTTCTACACACCGCGATTTGCTGTCGCATTCTTTGCCACAGTACTGGCATTTATGCACTGCTTTACCATGATGGCATTTTTCGTGCCTCTTAAAGTCCTTTTTGCTATGAAAAGCTTCACTACAAAGAGGACATTTATACAATTTTATAGTATGAATCTTTTCATGTCTCACACAGTCAGACTTTCTGGTGAAACTTTTGTCGCAATGCTGACATCTGAAGGTTTTTTGGCCTGTGTGAATCCTCTCATGTGAAACGGCTTGGTTCTTTTTTGCGAATGTTTTATTGCAATGTTGACATGGATAGGGTCTTAGTCCAGAATGTGTTTTTTCATGCTCTTCCCAATTTAGTCTCTTTGCAAAAGCTTTATCACAGAATTTACACGAGAATGGTTTATCTGTATGTGTCTGTTCATGTCTGATGCATAATGTTTTTCTAGAATAGCTTTTAGTACAATGTCGGCATTTGAACTGATTACTCCCAATTTGACTTTTATAAAAACGACCTGAATAAACACTCCTTCTTTTGCACCTTTTATCATCTTGTTTGTGTTTGATGGAATTCTGTTTAGTCCTGCCTTCCACAGTTTGAAATATTCCTTTTTCAGCGGAGGAATTACTTTCAACATACCCAATGTCAACATGTTCAAGTTTAATCAACATTTCACTGTTGCCAGGTTGCTTGGATAGTCTGTCATTTTCTTCATCTTTGTCCGATTCAGTATCAGCCTCTTTGTGATGGTCTGGTTCTGTCAGATCATATTTTTGCCAAAATTCTGATTGTGTTCTGTTAAGAATTTTGATTATTTTATTTTTCAAGTCAATGTACTCCTTCTTAACCTTGACCAGCTTTTTCAGCAAATTCAGGCATGTATCACAACATCTACTGGATTTTGATTGCTGACCCTGTGCTGATCTTTCAAGTTCTATGATCTCATTTCTTAGTGCAGGATAAGCTGAAAGATCCTCATGCTTGACCTCTGGCCCTGATCCACAAATTACACATTTTAATTCTAGATCATGTGCCATATTATTATCAGGCAAAGGAACAATTGCAAGTTGAACGGCTGGGAGCGTGGGCCCAGTACCTAATGCACCGTCAGTTCCCGCAGTATTCACACTTTCACTTTCACTTGGCACAGACATAATAACAGACCCTGTATAAAATCTAGAGCTGAGAACGGTGGAACTGCTGAGGCCGAGTTTTCAACTTCACTTGCAGGTAGTCGCAAGTTCTTGAAACAGCGTCCGAACCGGTGGACACTGAAGCTAGTGGAAAGAGCGCCCACTTTCTGCGCTTAGTCCTTTCCTAGCTGGTAAACGTACACCGACATCTGTCTATTGATAAGTGAATTTTAAAAATCTGTGATGGAAAAAATTACTTCTAATGAGATACACGTAAAAAGGAAAATGAGAGTAAACCGATAGTAATTGCCTACAAGAGAAGTCTTGCTTTATTTTCGTTAATACGGCAAATCGATTTGGTAAAAAATATATAGACTACATAAATCTATGCAAACAGGAAATGATTCTGCGTAAGTGGATACTACTGGTGTGTGTAAGGACTTGGTATATTCAAAAGCTTGTCTTGGAAGGCATGAAGTAATAAGAGCAGTGCAGTTGTGGTTGGTTGGTTGGCAAAATATTTGTCGTTTACCCCTATGTGCAATAACCTTTTTATTTACATTCTATAATAAAATGAAAAAAATACGTTGTGCACTTGAACATTTTAATTAATTATTGTCATTTTCTAATTTGTTCATTTACTAGTTCTTTACAGTAGGCAATGAACTCATTTCATTTTAGCAGCATTGGGGATGATGAGAGGTTAATTTGAAAATAATAATAATAATAATAATAAATAACCACAAAACATGGTTTAACCATTTAATTTTTTTATATTTATCTCACATTACCTAGACAGAAATATAGACAAATAATACTTCTCAGTCTGTTTTCATGATATACAGTACAGTACCATATGCACTTTTTTTTGTTTGTTTCACTTCTACCTTCTGTAATCAGGTTACGCATTATAAATAAATGAATTACTTAATAGAAATATAGGTGATTCTATTGCGTTATTATTGACCCAATAAAAAGGAAGAAAATTTCTATTCAAATTTGTAATAATAATAATAATAATAATAATAATAATAATAATAATAATAATAATAATAATAAATAACCTCATCATGCATAATATCAAATTAAGCAACATATGGTATGGGACGTTTGAGACTGGCCTGTTTTAATGCATCTTTTCATTGTTCACAAAAAGTATCATATGTCACTACAGTGTAAAATACATATGTGTGTATAAAATATCAACAAATCTTGTCTGATTTAAGTTCATTATATCTTTCCATTTTCTTCTTATGCTACTAGTTTTCTTTTATAAGAATGGATGGAATGAAGTATCTATTATCTACAGTTAAATCCTGTCTTATTATAGAGTGCCTACTTGAAGAGAATGTTTACATTCCAAAAGATTTTGTAAAACCATTCATTTTGTACATGAAATTTTTCATTAAAGTCCTTCACGAGTAAGCCATAGTGAAAAATATAAAATTTTCTGAGGTCCTATATTATTTGGGGGGGGGGGGGGGGGGGGCTGAATTTTTCATTCAATCCTGAAAAAAATTTGAATGCTGTCAGCGGGTTCAGCATTTTTTGGAGGGATCACAGGAATTTTCTCTGATGGCATGTCTATGGGAATGGGGTCTAAGGTTCAATTTATCATGAAAGTTTTTAACTTGAAACTTTCTTAGCATTAAGCTGTTATCTAAAGTCCTGGCATATACATGTATGGACTGATATCAGTATGGATTGCATCAGGCATAACAAATGTGTTACTTGACTGCTGACTACTAGTAGGTATTATAGAGTTCTCTGAAGAGTAATTTTTCAATATCAAATCAGGGTTGTGATTTTGCAATGAGAAGTCTGCCTGTGTATTTTTTACTGGTTTCTTTACAGTATGAGTCTTCTCATGCTGCAAGCAGTATTTTCTGCAGGTGTACGTTTTACCACAATACTGGCACTTGAATGGCCTCTCGCCAGTGTGAATCCGCTCGTGAACCACACAATCAGTTTTGTCAAAATATCTTTTGCCACAGTATGAGCACACATATCGCTTTATTCCAGTGTGAGTTCTTTCGTGTTCTCTACAGTTTCCTTTTCTTATGAAGGCTTTGTCACAAAAACTGCACTTGAATGGTTTTTCTCCAGTGTGAAAACGTTCATGTTCTTCACGGTACAATCTAGTTGGAAACCCTTGACTGCAATATTGGCATTTAAATGGTCTTATTCCAGTGTGTTGTGTCCTTTCATGTAATTTACATGTGGAACTTTGAGCAAATGTTTTCTCGCAGTACTGGCAAAGGTATGGTTTTTCTCCAGTGTGTGTTCTTTCATGCTCTTTCAGCCTCGTTTTGTCTGCAAATGTTTTATCACAGCCCCCGCACTGAAATGGTTTTCCACCATAGTGGTTTTTTTCATGCTTCTCACAGGCTCTTTTTGTTGAAAAAAATGCACTGCACTTAGAACACGTAAATGTATTTTCACTGTGCAACTTTTCGTGTTTTTTACAAGCACTTTTTCTGAAATAACTTTTATCACAAACCTTACACTGAAATGGCTTTTCCCCAGTGTGAGTTCTTTCATGCATAATCTTTTCATTCCTTCTAGAAAATGTTTTGTCACAGTGTTGACATTTGTGTTGCTTTAATTCTGGATTAATAATTTCATCCTCCTTCATAGTTACTTCCTTGCCAACTTTTTCATCCCCTTTTAAAACTGGCTGTCTTTTACTCTTGTGTTTCTTTTCATGTTTGACACATGCGCTCTTGCTGATAAATGATTTTTCACAGTTCTGACATTTGAAAGGTCTTTCCCCGGTGTGTATTCTCTCATGAATTACTTTTTCCCTTTTCCTGTCAAATGTTTTTTCGCAATGTTGACACCTGTGTGGTCTTGGCAAAGTATGATTTATTTCGTGTTCAAACCAGTTCTCTTCATCTGAGAAAGTTCTGTTGCAAAATTTACATTTAAATGGCTTGCCAATATGATTCCGTTCATGGCTTTCCAATATGCATTTTCTTGTAAAAGCACTACTACACACCTGGCATTTATATGGTCTCTCTCCAGTGTGAATTCTTTCATGTTCAATACATTTATTCTTTCTGACAAATGTTTTTTCACAGTACTGACATTTGAACGGTTTCTTCACGGCTGTACCCCTAGTGTGGGTCTCAACCTTACGACTAATATCGGTATTGGTTTTTTCAATATGCCCCTGTTTGACTATGATTTTACCATCACTTTTCTTATGGTCCGTTACTTGAATCTCTCCATCAGAACCATTATCTTCATGGTTTTTAGATTCAACAGAGCCACAATGCTGAGTGCCTTTAACACGAGACTGTGCATCTTTGTACAAAGAAATTATTTCATTTTTTGAGCAGAAAAATTTCTTTTTCAGATATGAAAAGTTTTTTACTAAACCCATACATCTGCTGCAACAAACATCTGATTCATCTGGAGGGGCAAATAATTGTAAAACCTCCTGGATTTCAATTCCAATCTGTGGATAAGAGGACAACTGAGTGTATCCAGTCTTGCTTGTGTCTGAACATGATCCACAAATAAGACATTTATAGCTTTCTTGACAGGTCGTAATCGGCAACGCAGATTTGTCATCTTTGTGCAGAGAATGCTGACCCTCATTTTCACTTTTGTTAGTGTCCGATAGTGAGTCATCACTCTCAGTCTTTTCTTCTTGATCAACATCAGTTCCTGTCTTCTCTTCACCACTGCTTTCAGTTTCACTATCAGTATCACCATTTGATGTTGACAGTAAATTGTTGTCCATGTTGTTTACAGTCTCCCCTTCTTTATTTTTTCACTTGGGAGAGCTAGACATGCCTGACAGGAAATTTTTACTTGCATCAAATTAAGACTCTTCCCCCTTCTTCGTTACTTTATGGCTCTGGATTTTCTGATGTTTGAATACTTAGTTCTTAAAATGGTGAAATTAAAGAACATGCAGCGAGTCCGAGTTCCATCAATCATATGGGTGGTGACGGTGAATATGATTTTGGGGTCTTCATTACAAAATTTGCATGCTTCTTATTTAAAAGTAGAATGCTTAAGACAGCAAACTGTTTTTTTAAATGTGATCCTGTGATCCGGACCGTACCTTGTCTCTTAATATTGATCTCTTCAACTTCCTAGAAGAATCCCAAACAATGAGAACAACTTTAATTTGTTGTTAAAAGGGTAATAACTATATACCGATACGAGATTAGTATTGCCTGAGTGAACATTTTCATTCACGAGGCATTTATGGCTTATCTTATCATACTAAAACACGTAGATTTTTTACGACATACTTATGAAATCACTACCCCTTTGAAAAATAAAGAAACCAACAAACAAACAAACAAAAATAAATAATAATAATAATAATAATAATTATAATAATAATAATAATAATAAAATACAGGCTATCAAGGAAAGTGAAAAAATAATTACAGTAAATGAATGTTCATTTGTCCGAAGGTTCATTGGTCCGAAAAGTGGTAACATTTTCATCGATTTTTTTAATCAAGGGTTCATTGGTCCGAAGGTTCTATAGTGAATATTCGGACCAATGAACCTTCGGACTATTGAACCTTCGGACTATTGCTACGGCCCCATTGCTACGGCCCCGGCAGTGACAGGGTGAAAGTTGAACTGAGTGCAGGCTGAGGCAAGTTACCGGTCAAGGCATTCCCATGTATTCTATAAAAGTCCTATACAGAAAGTGGTCAAAATGGCAACTTCAGCTTCAGGGAAGAGACAACGAAAACTGAATTATTTGACACAAGAATATCTCTTCATAGCCGAATGCTATGAAGAATTTAAGTACACATTAGATAGTCAACACAAGGATGCTAACACCAATGCTAGGAAAAATAAAGCTTGCGAAAGCATACTGAATCAGCACAAGGCAAGGTTTCCTAATGTGTCGAGATCTTTGGAAGACTTGAAGACAAAACTCTCCAAACTAAAAATGGAATCTCATGCAAGAGAATCTGAAGTTAAGGCAAAAAAAAAAAAAAAAAAAAAAAAACAAAAAAAAAAACTGAAATTTGAAATTGAACTGTTGGAACATAAACTTAATGGAAGCACACATAAAGATGACACTGACCATTCATCACCAGTGTATTTCAGTTTGTTAGCAATACCATTTATATCCACTGTCTGCAAAATAATTCTAAATACTAATTGTAGGACATTTGCCTAAAACATTAAATCTCCTGTCAGAACATTAAATCCAATGTTCTTTCTCTTTTCATTCTCTCAAGCAAGAATAAAGTGTAGAATCTATTTGGTGTAAGTAATTAATGCACGTGCTCCGTGTCCATTTAACTGTAATAAGGTAATAAGGCATGATTTCTCCTGGTATGTTGGGTAATGTCATGTCAAAATGCCTTCTCTGGAAAAACTGTATCTTTTTACAAGTTCCACATCATCAAAAATGTCCAATAGATTCCTTCAATCCTGAAACACTCGTTTCAGCCGCATTGCTCTGCGGAGTTCCACAATTTCTAAAATTCTCCTGGCCATCCTTACACCTCAGAGGTATGAGTAGAAATGAGTTAGAATGATACTAGTGATTTAGAAGATACCCAGTCCAACTCTGACTTTAGCATGAAACTTAGAACTATACTAGGCTTAGAATTGCTTTATGGAATAGTTAGTATGCAACTAGAGATAGAATTAAGGTTAGCAACCAACTAGGGCTTAGAATGCTTTTATGGAATTGGCCCCTGGATTCCAGCAACAAGGGGATGATCAACTTAGGAAACCAGTTGAATTCAAACAAAAGTTAATCACCCACCAACCTGCTCGGGAGACATCATTTAATTTGATCTCTTTCAGCACAAATCCCTGCAGAGTTGGATCGCTTTTCTTAGTACAACAATTTCATTGTGAATGCTCCCATAGCTTGTTTTATGGCACACCATGTAAATGTTTGTTTAAAGGATGATTACCCACTTGGGCTGCTTTGTTTCAATGCATACATTTGGCTTAAAAGAATGTTTTTTTAACAAAAAAAAAAAATAAAAAATAGACGTCACCAAAACAACATGTCTAATAGTACTTCTCAGATTTCCCTCTTCTTTTATGCGAATAATCTACTTATATGGGCATTTTTCATTAAACTATATACTAAAAAACTTTCTAGGACTATCATCACATGTAAAATATGGAAAAACTGGATTTTTGTGTGCATAATAATGTAATAAAATGAATTTGAGTATTGTTTATTGAATATGAGTTTTTATTTGCCAAACAAAATATAACATAACTACTTTCCAATGAATTTAAAAATTCATTATATACATGGTGTTACATAAAATGGGTTTTAAAAGGTATCAATATAAGATGGCATTCAAAGCTATCTTGCAAAAGAAAGTCACAATCTATTTGACTAAAACAATCTTTCAAAAATTTCCTTCTATTTCATAAACTAATTATAAATAAAATTCTAAAATAACATGACCCTAAATTTTTATTGATAATTTGTAAAAATTGTGATCCTTTAATCATTGACATATATTGCAATAAAATATTTTTCTGATTAATGCTACAGACTGTTAACAGACGGTATTAAAAGGCCTTTTTAATCAACTTTTGAAATAAGCCTTATATGTAACCATCAAATTGGCATATAATCTTTAAAATTTTCAAATACACAAGTAGTGTAAACATCTACAATATCCAGTCTGACACAGCTATGCACATATTTGCAAAATATTTTCTTCACGATCAACCATATACTTTACTTTCATTTTAGGTTTCATTCACTGTTTATTGAAATGACACAGAATGGGTGAGGGCAATAATGTTTGCAGTCTCGTGCGCCAATCATGATAATTTAAATGCTGTATATAGGCTGATTTTTACATCACACTCCTGGCATGTACATGCCATATAGGTATGGATTGTCTCCAGGTGGGTATACAACTTCAGGGGTAGGGAAGGCACTACTAGAATGTGGACCTCTAAATGTATTGTTATCAGGCTGCTGATTTCCAAATAAGTTACTGGGGTGCTGACTTAGATATGAGTGATCGGGCAGGGGAGTTCTGAAAGTGTTCTCAGAATGCTGACTTTTAAAGGTGCCGTCCATGTCCAGATTTTTTAATTTGTTGTTATAGTCCAGAAGTTTGTAGGCGTGGTCAGGAACCACGTTTTTCAATGTACTACCAGATGTCTGCTTTTTGGCTGCCTTCCCTCCACTGTGGGTTCTTTCATGCTGTATACAGTGTTTCTTGGTGGTGTATGTTTTATCACAGAACTGGCATTTAAATGGTCTTTCACCTGTGTGAATTCTTTCGTGTACAACACAATCACTTTTGTCAAAAAATCCTTTTCCGCAGTACAAGCACACATATGGCTTAATACCCGTGTGAGTTCGTTCATGGTCTCTGCAGTTACCTTTTCTTATAAATGCCTTTCCACAGTAACTACATTTGAATGGTTTTTCACCAGTGTGGTAGCGTTCATGAACTTCACGATATCCTTTGGTTGCAAATGCCTGATCACAATACTGACATTTGAATGGTCTTTCGCCAGTGTGCTGTGTCCTTTCATGCAATAAACAAGTAGAACTCTGTGTGAAACGTTTATCACAGAACTGACACAGGAAAGGCTTTTCTCCGGTGTGAATTCTTTCATGTTCTTCCCATTGCGTTCTCCAGGCAAATGTCTTATCGCAGCCCCTACATTTATATGGCTTACCACCAAAGTGAGTTTTCTCATGCTTGTCTAGTGCTCTCTTTCCCAAACAAATTTTACCACAATGAGAACAGTTAAATGATTTAATAGAATGTTTTTTCTCATGCTTTACACATGAATTTTTCCTGATAAAGGTTTTTTCACAGTGTTGACACTGAAAAGGCCTTTCTCCAGTATGAATTCTTTCATGTGCTATACTTTCCCATTTCTTTTTGAATGTTTTATCACACTGTGAGCACTTGAATGGTCCTGCTTGAGGAACCATCTTTTTGCAACTTGTTTTCTCTGATGATGAAACAGTTTTTCTTGTTGATACCAAACCCTTGTGTGTTTTCTTTTCATGTTTTACACATGCATTCTTTCTGAAAAATCTTTTATCACAGTGCTCACATTTGAAAGGTCTTTCCCCTGTGTGAGTCCTTTCATGCAAGGTACTTTCCCCTTTCCTTGCAAAAGTTTTGCCACAATGCAGGCACTGGTATGGACGTATCAAAGTGTGAGTATTTTCATGCTCTTCACATTCCTCCCTGGTGGAAAAAATTCTCACACAATATTTACATCTGAATGGCTTATCTAGATGTTTCTTTTCATGCTTTACACAAATGTTTTTTCTATGAAAACTGCTGTCACAGAACTGACATTTAAATGGTCTTTCGCCAGTGTGAGTTCGTTCGTGGACAACCAATTCATCCTTCCTCCTGAATATTTTATCACAGTTCTGGCATTTGAAAGTTTTCCTTCTGGGAGGATTCTCCCTTTTCCTTTTTTGTGGCACTTCTTCTTCAGTACTGTCACTGTCATCATCAAATCCAAGATCAATATTTTCATGCTTGACCAACATTGCACAATTTTGTTCCTGGTAGTTGGGTTTGTTGATTTTATCCGTGGGCTCAGTTATTTCACAAACTTCAGACTCTGATACCTTATTGTTGCAACTCTCTCGTAAATCAAGTTGTGCATCAATATGGAGTGCAATTATTTTCCGTTTCATGTTAAGATATTCATTTTTAAGTCTGACAAAATTTTTCATTAAGCCCAAGCATCTATCACAACAAACATCTGAATCATCTGGAGGAGACAGTATTTTCAAAAGTTCACAAATCTCATTCTGAATTTCAGGACAAGAAGAGAGTTTAGTGTATTCGATCCTTGAAGTGCCTGTTGGTGGACCACAGATTAAACATTTATCAACATGCTCAACACTGTTGTCTGACTTCCTAGTAGCATCACCAGTTACCTCATCCTTGGTAAACTGAGGCCCATTATCAAGACTGCTGCTAGAAGCAGATGATGTTTCTGCATCCATAGTACCTGTGGCACAGTCTTCTATTTTGTTTTGAGCAGCATCAAAACTCTTTAAACCGATTTGATCACTGTCAGGGTTACATCCTTGAGCGATACTTTTTTCTTTCGTATCTGCAGCTGCTAATGCTTTATTACTACTGCTACCTGTAGTAGTAGCAGTCATTGGCATCACATATGGGATTTTATCCGCGCCATTTATGTCTTTCTCATTCACAGGGCCGCTTTCGTGAACTTCTGCTGGCTCATTCATTACTGGGACTTCTTTATCACATGTTTTTTCTTCGTTCGTGGTAGAGTATTCTCCAGCTGTGGACATCGTGAATGTAAGTAGGTCAGGGCGTTTGCTTAGCTCGAGTAAATATACTGCATCGGAGAACAAGAAAAAACTAACTGTTATAGGAACACCATATCTGTGCTAAACAATCACCTTGTACTGGATTTTTGACTCCATGCATCTTCTCTATTATATCACACGGTGATAACAGTTAACTCGGAGCCAGCAACAGATTGTATCGACAAAACCTCTGGAATATATGCCACGCAAAATGGGAACATTACTCCGCCGATATATATATATATTTTTTTAGTTGCGCATAACAGTTTTCAGGTCTTCATATAATGTACAGTATTTCAACTTGATTACTCATATTAGTTAACATTTTATTACAACGTAATGTTACAATATCCTGTTACTGCAAACAGTGCAGTTATGTCCACATATCTTAGGAAAATAAAAGCTTGTCTTGGCTAATTGACCCACGCATTATTGATTTTTTATTTTTTTTTTTCTTGTAATTTAAAATTATTGATCACCGTGGCACAAACCATTAATTAGTCTAAAAATGTACAAATGAAGGGAAAAAACTATTGAAAAAGATTTAATTTAATGATAGACAATTATTTAATAAAAAAATAGCACATAGTACTTTTTATAGTCTTTATTTACACAAAATGTTGTAACACTTCACATCTTGATTATTTTCATTTTTCAGTCAAAATAATGAATACGATCAAAGAGTGACAAATCAAGACAAAGTAATGGTATGATGAAATTTAATTACAATTAAATGTTGGAAAAATTAAAGAAATGATTTTTGACTTAAGAAGAAATGTCTAAGCTTGTTCACCAGGACCTATTAAAGATGATAATGTTACCCTAGAACTTAAAAGTATAAATACTAAGGATGCATTATAGATGACAACTTGAAGTGGAAAGAGCATGTTACAAAGAAAACAAAAGGCTGTATTTAACCAATATTACCTAAAGTTTAATGTAGACAGAAAGATGTATGGCATTGTTTACTATTCTGTAATCAGTTATGCTTATGCTAAAATGCATGTTGGTTCTCCAGTATTACTGACAAAACAAGAAAAATATTAAACAAGCCAAGAGAGGTAATAACATGTCTTTTTTGTATTATTACTGTAACTATTTATGTCTTCATATTTTTACCAGCACAGTCTGGTGTACAGTATGAATCAAGCACATTACAGTGGATAGACTAACACATCACACCTAGAGACATGTAATGAAAAAACTACTAAAGCAATTATGAATAATTATCAACATATTTTGCATTCTAAATTGAAACTACTTCCAAAACTACTTTGAAACTACTGGAAAATGGCTAAAAAAAAAAAAAAAACACTTTCACAGGACATGTTTCCAAATTCCTTTGTTCCATAGAGGCTGTACAATTACCCAGATGTACTAAGTCATTTAAATAGTTAAACCCATGTTTCTACTCCAGCATTGGCAGATCCAGGAATATTTGAAGGGGGCCACTAAAGGGCCCCGAAAATTTTTGGTATTTAAGAGGGCAAATGAAGCCCTTTGGTGTGGTTTAGAACTATAAATCAGCTACTAGTAGTCAAAATTCTAATTCCAAGAGGGGAAAATCAGTGTGATTTTTTTCAGAGACTGAAGGGTCAGGACCCCCCTGACCCCCATCTAAATCCGCCACTGTCCAGATATCTCAGTCTAGTCAATTAGTAGTTGTTAAAGCAGGTTTCAGTATTTTACTAGTAAATGTGTAGGACTGATGTTGTGTAACTTTATAATACTCATCATCTTGCATTATATATATATATGTTTTCACATATTAATGTTAATGCGTTTTGTTTTTATGTTTTCATGTGTTATTATATCATTACTATGAATTGCAAGTCAGTGACAAATTCCCTTTCTTGGGTGAATAACATGATCTAAGCTTATTTTAACAAATTTCAAGCATGTTCATTTCTATATTCTGAAAGTATCTTATTATCTAATTATTTTCCATATACTGTGTACCACGCAGCTGTTAGAAATTACCTTCACTTTCAAATCTCTGTACACCTAGCGCTCGACATCATTTCATATATTACATAATAAGTGTTGTCATTTTTACCTCTTTGCATTCACTTAACAGATTTTTGTATCATAAACTACTGGCAGTAAGTGATTCATTTGAAGTTCTAAAGTACAAAATAATTTATCTATTTTCACTCAGTACAGAATTAGATAGACCCTACTTGAAAGGAAACACAACGTCAAAATTACATTCCTGGCATATACATACTGTACATATAAGGGTTATCTCCAGAATAAACCACTTCTGGTGTTGGGAATACATGATTAGAATGTGGAGCTCTGAATGGCAGTTCAGGATGCTGATTCCTGAATATGCTGTCAGACTGTTGATTAACATATGAGTTATCAGGGTGCTGGCTCCTGGAAGCATTTTCAGAGAGGTGACTCATAAATGACCCATCACTAGTGGCGTTTGGACCCTTAAAGGTTTCATCAACATGCTGATTTTTGTGCACTTTTGCTGGGTTTCTCGCTTTGTTTCCAGATTGTTGACTTTTGACTACTTTCTCTCCAGTGTGGATCCTTTCATGTTCATTGCATTTTGATTTCCTGATGAACCTTTTATCACAGTATTGGCACTGAAATGGTCTCTCTCCAGTGTGAGTTCTTTCATGTACAACACATGTCTGTTTTTTAAGAAATCTTTTCCCACAGTAAGAGCAAACATGTGGTTTAATTCCCGAGTGAGTCTTTACATGATCTCTCCAATTTGCTTTCCTAACAAATCTTCTGTCACAAAAATCACATTTGAATGGTTTTTCTCCAGTGTGGAAACGTTCATGTTCAACACAATATAATCTGGTGGGAAAACGCTCCTCACAATACTGACATTTGAATGGCTTTTCCCCATTGTGTTGTGTCCTTTCATGCAACCACAATGTCGACTTTTGGGCAAAGCTTCTGGTACAGTATTGACATAAATATGGCTTCTCACCAGTGTGGGTTCTTTCATGGTCTTCCAACTGGCATTTTGAGGGAAATGCCTTATCACACAATCCACATTTGTATGGTTTTCTATCACGGTGAGTTTTCTCATGCTCCTCAAGTGCTCTTTTTCCCAAACACGGTTTACCACACTGGGAACAGTCCACTGGTTTTAAATTAACGTTATGTTTTTTCTCATGTTTAATACACGCACTTTTTCTTGTAAAAGCTTTCTGGCAGTGTTCGCACTTAAAGGGTCTCTCACCTGTGTGAACTCTTTCATGGAAAATTTGTTCACTTTTTCTGTTGAATGTTTTATCACAATGTTGGCATTTAAATGGTTTTACCTCCAAGTTGATCTTCTTCTTACTTTCTTTTGCCTTAGCGTTAATTTTTTTCATGGGAAATAAACCATGCTTTTTCTTTTCGTGTCTTACACGTGCATTATTTCTAACAAAGCCCTGGCCACAGCGTCGACATTTAAATGGCTTTTCTCCAGTGTGACTCCGTTCATGTTCAATCCATTTATCCTTCCTGTCAAATGATCTGTCACAATATTGACAGTGGAAAGGTCTTGGTGTAGTGTGAGTACTTTCATGTTCCTCACAGTCTTTAGTGGTTGGGAAATTCTTAAAGCAAATCTTACATTGGTATGGTCTGTCTACGTGCATCTTCTTTTCGTGCTGATCACAAGTAGATTTCCTATAAAAACCTTTGTCACAATGCTGACATTTGAATGGCTTTTCTCCAGTATGTCTTCTCTCATGCACTGTCCATTCATCTTTCCTTGTATAAATTTTACTGCAGTGCTGACACTTAAAGACCTTTTGGGAGGTAACTTCTTCTTCAACAGAATCACCTTCATCAGCAGATTTGATGGCAATACTTTCATGCTTGATAAGCATATCAATATCTTTATCCGGATTGTGACATTTATTCCCTTCATCACCCAGTTCAAGTTTTTCTGAATCTGATTCCCCAGGATGATTGTCATCGTCATGTAATTGTACATGTAGCTGTGCATCGATGTGAAGAGCTATTATCTTCCGCTTCATGGTTTGAAAATCATTCTTAAGCTGCATATACGTCTTCAAGAAATCTAGACACCTACAACAGCAGACTTCTGAATCATCAAGAGGTGAAAGTATTTTCAAAAGTTCACGGATTTCCTTTTCAATATCAGGACAAGAGGAGAGCTTTGTGTATTTACTCTTGATAGTGTCTTTGGGTGGACCACAGACCACACACTTGGGGATTTGTTTTGGATCCTTTCTTGTTAAATCAGCAGGCTCATTTGTGACGTGTTGGTAAGGTGCAGAAATAAATGATGTTTCTTCTTTACTTATACTTTTAACCTGTGAGCTAGTCTTTTGCAGTCCTTCTTCGTCGTTATTTTCAAAACTGTTTTGATCATCCACATCTTTTTTCAAAGTTCCTTTATCTTCAGCTAAATACATTCCTTGTCTCTGAACAGACATATCTGTATAATTAGCACCTATGGAGGGAAGCTCCTTTTCATGGCCTATGCTTTCTTCACTTCTTTCTTCATCAGGTGTAGACATTATCGATTCACTGGCTTTCACTTCATCGATAGAAATTTTTAAAGGTTGTACAGCTGCATGAAATGCGATCCGAGACCTCGCGTAATCAGAAATTTAGGATTTAATTAGTATCTTACCCAAAGGATCTTTAAATTAAAAAGTTTAAATCGAAGACAATGAACAGTTTCTGCAGAAAAAAATTGTGCCGGCCGCTCGGTCTACGCAGTGGCAAAATGGCCTGCCAAATATTGATGATTGGAAAAAGGAAAATTGCTAGTTACCGATAATATAATGTTAATCTCTAGATACTTTTCCACTCTGCCTTTGAATAAAAATAAAGATAAACGATAATTAATTGGGAAATAATTAAAAACCACTATAGGAAATTTTCCTAAAATCACAAAAAATGGTATATGGTAATCATATTCAACTATAAGTTAGATTATCTTGGCTAATTGAACTCATCATATACTGCCTTCACAGATTTTAAAATATGCAGAGCATAATAAAGTACACAAAGGGTACGTGGGCCAAAGGGAGAGAGGCTATGAGAACCCCCCCCCCCCCTCGTTTTTCAAAACCACTCAGTCATACGCACGGGAAGGATGTGGGGAATCACCCCCCCCCCCCCCATGGTTATTTTTCCTGAATGCGACCGCCCCCCCCCCCCCCCCCCACACACACACACACACCCCCACACCCACTTCCCTTGTTTCAAACACAGTTGCGCCGAGTGGAATCTTCACATAATGAGAACCGTGTGAGAATTTGTGGCAAGCAGCTTAGATATTTTACAAATTTCAGAAAAGACTTCATTTCATTACTGAGCACGTTTTAAGGGTTTATTTTCAAAGATAAACACCTCCTCCTGGCATCAAGATGAATATAGAAAGACTGGTGATTAGATAAGTACATTAGAAACAAGCTTAACTGAGTGCATTCAGCAAGAGTCTCCACAGGGTTGGATTAATCTATGTAGACCAATAGTTTGGATGAGGATGAGCCGTTCACTACACAGGCCACTAACCTCCTCCAACCTAACTAAAACATAATAATTTAAAACCATACTTCCACAACTATTGGCAATCAGAGACTAGGAAAATGTTAAGTATCCATTAAAAAAAATAATAAATAAATAAATAAATAAATAAGGACTATCCATGACAACCATCAGAGAGTCAAGATTTGATCTATCGTTATTTAAATAAATATTACACATAATGTTCATTATGTTATTAATTTCTGAAATACCAAGCAAAATCAAAATTAAATTTCTATTCCTGAAAATCCTCCATAAATATTGTTTCTAAAGATGTTCACTTATGGAACATTTTAATTCTTTCTGAAACCAGACACCATAAGTTATCAGAATCCAAAACAAATATTATTCATTGATTATTTATGACTATTATAATTGTGATTCTATTAAGATTGTTCTCTACAAAAATGGTAAAAAAAGCATTTATAAAGGATATTTTTATTCTTTGACATATTTTTCAAAATACTCATAATTTTATATAATATTACAAACATTTAAAACATACAATATCAATTATTCCTTACATATAGCCAAGCGCATTAGAGTCAAATATATCTTATTGGAAAGTTATGAATAAATAAAAATATAATCAAATTATTTACTAATTGGTGGCTTGGTGCCTATTAAAAATTATTAAATTATTTAAATTGGTACCTATTAAAAATGTATATGAAGTCAATTTTTTTTTTTTGCCCCAAAAGCTGACCAAATTCCATCATAAGGTTTCAATTTAATGTACCAGGAAATTGGTTCTTATTACCCAAAAATGATATCTGAACAGATATTTTCTGCTCACGTTCTGTGCTGTATATAACTGGGGCAGACAAGTAGCTAGGTCAAATTATGATAAAAAAAATTTAAATAGGCACAGTTTCATGCCTTTTATTGCAGATCTAGTGATTAATTCAGTTTATTCATTGGCATGTAGACTCTGAGTCTCCTAAGAAACTAGTGAAAGTGGTTTATTAGTTTATTACTAGATAACCATGCTTAATTCATAAGACATACCTTTAAGTAAGTTTTAGGTCAGTAACTACAAAGACTATTTCAAATGTACTCCACATTCTTGTCAAACGCGGTATGGGTCAACATTGTGTAAGAAATTTTGATTATAATTATTCCAATGGGGAATAAATAAAAATTAAAGACTAGTCAACAAACAAAACATACACCCTAGTGATCAATCTGCACGACTTCTAAGCTAGTGTTTAACACTATCCAAAGAGTAATTTGTATTTAAATTTTACCTTATTCTGGCATAATGCAAATAGGCTACACTTAAAAAATACAATTATAAAACAATCACTGAAATTTAAACATCTTTTCCATAATTAAATTTTACAATTAGATTTCTACAACAAGTGTTTAAAATTGTAATGATTTTAACTTCAATCTTATAATTATTTGAAGCTAGTAGGTTATAATTATAGTATTAACTTTAAAGTCTTTCATTATATAGAAACCTCTTGATGCAGAGGTCTCTGTTTTGGCAAATATATAAAAAATCACAATCCTGGCATGTACATATTATACATATATGGATTAGGATTATCCCCATGATAAACAGCCTCTGGAGTTGGGAATACATTGCTCGAGTGTGAGCCCCTAAATGATGGTTCCGAGTGCTGATGCCTATGGCTATAAGTGCTGTCAGGCAGCCCCGTTCTAAAAGTGCTGTCAGCAGACCCTGTTAGAAATGTACTGTCAGTGTGCTGAGTTCTAAATGTGCTTTCGGAGTGTTGACTTATGAAAGAGCTATTCGAGTGCTGGCTCATGAAAGAACTGTTTGTGTGCTGACTGGTGAAGTGGTCTTCTGCATGCTGATTTTTATGTGTTTTAACCTGATTTTTTATCTTATTAATAGACTGCTGACTTTTTACTGGTTTCTCACCAGTGTGGCTCTTTTCATGTTCATTACAATAAGATTTTCTTATAAATGTTTTGTCACAATATTTACATCTGAATGGCCTTTCTCCAGTGTGAGTTCTTTCATGTCTAGCGAGGGTGCTTCTGTCACGAAATCCTTTTCCACAGTAGGAGCAAACTTGAGGTTTGATCCCTAGATGGGTTTTAACATGGTCTCTCCAATTTGATTTTCTTACAAACCTTTTGTCACAGTAATCACACTTAAAAGGCTTTTCACCAGTGTGAAAGCGTTCATGTTCTTCACAAGATAATCTGGTTGGGAATCCCTGCTCACAGTATTGGCATTTGTATGGTTTTTCTCCAGTGTGTTGGGTTCTTTCATGCAATTTTAAAGTTGAGCTTTGTGTAAAACTTTTTGTGCAGTACTGGCACAAAAATGGTTTTTCCCCCGTATGAATTCTCTCATGCTCTTCTAAGGATGCTCGATAAGCAAATGACTTCTCACAGCTTTTGCATTTGTGTGGTTTTCCACCAGAATGAATTTTTTCATGCTTGTTGAGAGCTTTCTTACCCCAACAAGATTTCCCACAATGAGAACATTTATATTCGTGAATTTTCTCATGCTCTACAAGTTCACCCTTCTTAAGAAAGCATTTTTCACAACGTTCACATTTTAACCCTTCATTTGTGTAAATTCTTCCTTTACTATCCACATTTTCCTTTTTTTCATCTTGCTCTGTCTCATCATCATTTCTCCTTGCAGAAAATACATTTTTGTGCTTTGCTCTCTCATGTTTTAAACATGAGCTTTTCCCACAAAAAGTTTTGTAACAGTATCGGCATTTGAAAGGTCTTTCTCCAGTATGAGTTCTTTCATGTAAAATGATTGCATCTTTTCTATTGAATGTTTTACCACAATGTGAGCAGTTATATATTTTTGCTTCAGCATCAGTGCCATCTTTCTTCTTTTTCATCTCAGCATCATTTTTCTTTACTGGCATCAAACTCTTGTGCTTCGCTTTCAGGTGTTTTAAACGTGCACTTTTACTAAAGAAGCTTTTAGGACAATACTGACATTTGAAAGGCCTTTCACCAGTATGAGTTCTTTCATGCACTATCCATTCATTCTTCCTTTCAAATGTTCTGCTGCAATACTGGCATTGAAATGGTCTTGGAGCAGTATGGGTACTTTCATGTTCTCTACATGCATCAGCAGCTGAAAAATTCTTGAAACAAATCTTACACCTGAATGGTTTTTCTATGTGTTTCTTTTCATGCTGTAAACAAATATTTTGACTGTGAAAACTTTTTTCACAGTAACGACATTTGGCTGGCTTTTCTCCAGTGTGAGTTCTTAGATGCACAGTCAAGTCATATTTTCTTGTATAGTTTTTACTGCAGTGCCTACACTTAAAAACTTTTTTCGAGTTGATCTCCTTTCCTTTCTTTTTCCTTTATCAGAACCATTTTCTTCACCAAACCCTATATCAACAACTTCATGTTTGATAAGAACTTCATCACTTTGTTCTTGATTGTCAGAATCATGTGTTTTTTCTTCTTGATCAAATGGTTCTTGATCATCATCATCATCATCATCTGATTCCTTATGGTTTTGACTCTCTGGTAATTCTAGCTGTGCATCAATATGAAGAGCAATGATCTTCCTCCTCATGCTTAAAAATTCATGTTTAAGGTTTATAAAGGTTTTCATGAAACCAAGACATCTGCCACAACAAACATCCAATTCATCAGGGGGAGAGAGAATTTTTAAAAGTTCATGAATTTCTTTCTCAACTTCAGGGCAAGAAGCAAGCTTTGTGTATTCAGTTTTGGTAGTGTCTTTGGTTGGGCCACATATTATACACCTGGGACTTTGTTCTTGGTCTTTACTTGCAGTACTATCAGTAGTTTCATTTGTTATATGTGGCACCTCAAAACCAACTTGAGTTTTATCGTCTTGTTCTTGATTGTTCATATTAAGAGTTTTATTATCCTGATCACACGGTTCTTCGCCCTCGCCGTCTGTCTTTGATCCTACACTGTTTTCTTCACTCACATTTTTATCGAGCGTCTCATGCTGTACTTCGTCGTCGTTATCCGTGGCATCATCGTACTCGCTATGTTGTTTGTTTAAGGCCGATTCTTCTGTATCAGAATAAACATCTTGGACACGAGCACCTCCGACTTCATCACTTTCAATCGACAATGACCTGGTTGGTGTAATTTCCCCCGTGCGACTGGCCTCTTCATCGACCCTTTCTTTCAAATATGCAGACATATTTGATATTGAGTATCATAAGTTGATCTAATACCAGTCACAAACCATGTTTGATTGGCTGGAAAAAGTTCTGGTTTAGCCACACGTAGGGTCGCTCTCCGTAAATCCAAGTCAATTTCACACAAAGGAAGGGAGTTTTCGCAGGAAGTGACGTGTGATGAAAAGGAAAATCACTAGCTGCTGACTAACATGTTAGCGTCAAATTAAATTTTAGTTTACATTGACGAAGCAGGTACTTTCGTATCATTTGAAACTCGGACATTGTGTATGTTTCCACAGAAAAGAAATGTTTCATCTTATGCATTCCCTCCAGCCAGTTACATTCCTCTGACTATTTGTTTTCATAATAGCAAACTTTTAAGAGGGCAACGTTAAAACGATCGAAATACATGTACATCTTCCACGTCCCCCCCCCCCCCCCGTGAAAGGTTAGAATAAAAGTGTTTAAGAACAAAATTGAATATTTGTTTTAAAAAAATAATAAAAATGAACCACAAAAAAAAAAAAAAAAAAAATTTTAAAAGAGGTTAGTAAAAAGCCTAAAAGCTACATAACATAACAAGCATATACATAAAATTCACTTTTGATTTTTTAATAGAATTTTTCAAAACCAACTATCAAACACATGGGGCAACTCATTTAAAGCTGCTGCACAAAATGAATAGAATTTATTTTTACTTTAACAATGGAATACAGCCTCTCCAGAAACTTTACAGGGGATTTTAAAACATGATTTTTTTTCTTTTTTAATATCACTGCAATGATGAGTTGAGTTTTTCATGACTGTTTAATGGACTTGATGAAGTAACTTTAAATTTCACATAATTTAAACAATTCGTTTAATTCATGTCAATTGTTCTCCTTTTCTTTAACTTGCATCTGCTATTTTGTATTCACATTGTAAAGTATATTGGATGTAATTTGGATTCAAAACTATAAGACCCCATTTCCATAGATTTTAGATCGATCTATCCCTGCGGGGAGTCTCACTAGATTACTGTCAGCTTAGCCGGCTTAAGCGTCTTTCCCGCCTACTAAAAGCTGTAAAGGGGTAATTAACTATGGTGCACGCTCGGCTGACTGCAATTTAGCGTTAACCCCCAAGGAGTTAGGTCGATCTAAATCTTAATCCCTGGATCGTTCTAAATCTCTGGGAATGCACCCAAAATAGATATCACTATCATGACTATATTATTATTATTATTATTAATTTGATAATAATACTGCAATTGAAAATGAACACAGCATTTTTTGTTTACATTTTAAGGGGAGGACTAAAAATTCATTTATCGTTATCAAACATTCTCTTAAAATAAATATGCTATATACACAGCTAACTTCTTGGCTTAATCCTCCCCCCCCTCCAAAAAAAAATATATATATAAATAAAAAATAAATAATAAAAATCATAACAATAGTAAAATTACTTTTTTTCTCTTATGCACCAATGTATTTCTTTATTAATTCTTAGTTTGTAATATCCATAATTTTAACTGAGGAAAATCTCACTTGCATATGTCTGTTTCTCAGTTATAAAAGCCATCACATTCCTGGCATATACATGTTATACCCATAGGGATTAGGATTATCTCCATGATAAACAGCCTCTGGAGTAGGGAACACATTACTGGAGTGTGGACCCCTAAATGAGGTTTCCATGTGCTGAGATCTAAATGTACTATCAGTGTGCTGAGGTCTGAATGTACTCTCACTGTGCTGGGGTTTATATGTGCTGTCAAACTGCTGACTGATGAATGAACTGTCCAACTGTTGACTCATTACCAAGCCATTAGAATGGTTACTTCTACTGCTGTTGTCTTCAGCATGCTTATTTTTACTAACCCTATTCTGACTTTTCAATTTATCATCAGATGGTTGTTTCCTGGACATTTTTTCTCCTGTGTGACTTTTTTCGTGTGCGTTACATTTAGACTTTCTAATGAATGTTTTATCACAGTATTTACATCGAAATGGCCTCTCTCCTGTGTGTGTCCTTTCATGTATAGCAAGGGTGCCTCTGTCACGAAATCCTTTTCCACAGAAAGAACAAACCTGTGGTTTAATTCCTAAATGGGTCTTTATATGATCTCTCCAATTTGCCTTCCTTACAAAACGTCGGTCACAAAAATCACACTTGAATGGCTTTTCACCAGTGTGAAATCGTTCATGTTCTTCACAAGCTAGCTTAGCTGGAAATCCCTTACCACAATACTGACATTTATGTGGTTTTTCTCCAGTGTGTTTCGTCATTTCATGCATTTTCAAAGTTGAGTTTAAAGCAAAACTTTGGGTACAGTATTGACATAAATATGGCTTTTCTCCAGTGTGAGTTCTCATATGTGCCTCCAATTCTCTACCATAGGCAAAGGACTTGCCACAGTGTTTACATTTGTGTGGCTTTTCACCAGTGTGTATTTTTTCATGCCTGTTAAGAGCTCTGATTCCCCAACAAGATTTACCACAGTGGGAGCACTTTAATTCGTGGATTCTTTCATGTTCCACTAGGTCAGCCTTCCTGGTAAAAGTCTTTTCACAACTTTTACACTTAAGTCTGTCGTCTTTGTGTATGACTTCATGCAAATCAAGTGCCCTTCTCCTGGTGAATGTTCTATCACAATATGAGCAAGTGTATATAAGGTGCGATTTTTCACTACTGTGAATTTTCTCATGCCTTTTCAGAGCTCTTGTCCCCCAGTAAGACTTATTACAATAAGAACATTTCAATTCATGAATTTTTTCATGTTCTACCAAATCAACTGTCCTAGTAAATGATTTTTCACAATGCTCACATTTTAAAACTCTTTTACTATTATGTATTTTCTCATGCATAATAAGTGCATTTCTCTTACTCAATAATTTATCACAATACGAACACTGAAATAATTTTGTTCCAGAATCACTGGTCTTTTTCCTCTTGTCATTCTTTATCACCGATTTAGTTTTCTTTGTAGATGTAACAGCATGTTTTACACACTTTTGTTTGTGTTTTAAGAATGCCATCTTGTTGAAAAATTTTTCATTACAGTTTTGACATTTGGATGAATGCAATATTGAGATATAATTTTTTTGTCTAGTGTGGGTACCTTTATGTGAATTATGTTCATCTGCAGTTGCAAAGTTCTTGTAGCAAATTTTACATTTAAACATTCTGTGTCTTTTTTCATGCTGAACGCAGTTGTTTTTTCTACGAAAAGAACTATCACAATATTGACATTTAAATGGCTTTTTTTCAGTGTGAATATTTTCATGTTCCTTCATAAGATGCATCTTTAAATCATACATTCCTGTAAAACTTAGACTGCAGTGCTGACACCTGCATTTCTTTAAACATTCCAGTTTTTCATCAAGATTATTATCTTCTTCAAATCCATAATCAATGACTTCTTGTTTGACTAAAACTTCACTATTTTGTCCTTGGTTGTCCAAATCGTGTGCTTTATTTTCTTGATCACTCAAATCGTGATCTTCCTCCTCTGATTCCTTATGGATAGCATTCTTTGACAGTTCTAGCTGTGCATCAATATGAAGAGCAATTATTTTCCGCCTCATGCTCAAAAAATCATTTTTCAGTCTTATAAAAGTTTTCATAAAACCCAGGCATCTATCACAACAGACATCCGAATTGTCTGGAGCAGTTAATATCTTTAAAAGTTCACGGACTTCTTTCTCAACACCAGGAAATAAGGATAGCTTTGTGTACTCAGTTTTATGGGCGTCTTTTGGTGGACCACATATGAAACATCTATGGTTGAGTTCTGAATCTTTATCTGTAGCACCCGTGGACATTTCGGTGGTAAGGAGCTGATCTCTGTTGTCATGATTGTGACGAAGAGGAAGAGGCAACTGCCCATCACCATCATCTTTTTCTTCACTGCTTGCAACAAGTTGTGACTGTCGATTGTTACCTGTTATTGTTCCATCTCCTGGACTGGCATCAACTTTGTTTGAAATTGTTTCCTCTCGCGCTAACTCCCCGTCTTGTCCCTGAGCAATTGAGTTTTTACTTATTTCATCAGGCAAAGAAATCGACGGAGTACCGTAATTAATCTCTTTGTCATTATAAGTACTGGTACTTTCCATCTCATCTCCCGCAGTCGTGGACATTATCGATGTAGAGATCTCTTCCTCAAGAAAATTTCACAATGGGTGAAATATATCAAATTACCATCATAGCAGAAGCTGGGCATGACTTTAATGAGACTGGCCTTCAAATGTCCACTAATGTCCACAAAGATTCCCACTAAATTCGCACTGTGACATGACAGACAAAGAGCAAATGTACAGAGATAACGGAAAATTACTAACACCCGATAGTACAATTTATTGCTATTTTCAAAGCGGGTAATTTCTGTTTTACGTAGACTAAGAGTGAAGTCGGGCATATCTCGCTAATCTAGCTGTTTTCTGAATTGTTCGTTACTGTCAAAGTATTTTAGAGTACCATAAGCTGCGCAATAATTACATCTATCTATCTAAATGTATAGCTTGTCTTGATTTGCCGAGTGGCGAAATGGGCCGGGGGGGGGGGGAGCACCAGTTTATCATGGTTGGAATTATCTGGTGCTCGTTAAAAACAACAAAGAACACCAGAGGGCTGACGTTGTGCATTTTAAGACGCAACAGGGTTCTTCAACAGTGTTTTCTATCATTAATATACAGTGTAGTTATTTCAATATGAATTAAAGGAAAAAAATAATTTTATGCGTACTAGTATTATATGGTCCTACTGCTGTGAGCATGCAGTAAGATAACATCCCTATTCTTTACGTCTCCGCTCCAATATTTCCTGCACCAATAAATGTACACACTTGCACTACTTAGGTACTCCTCCTTAATAGAATGAGGGATAGAGAGAGAGGAAAGGTATAAAATCCATAAAAATGTCCTGTGGACATAACAACCAAAAAAGAAAATCAAAAGGATTTTTTCAAACTGAAAACTTATGATATTAAAAGTAAAGATAAAAATGTCCAATTACAATGTTCTGCAAAGTAATTTTTCTAATTAGTTTTATTAATCATCTGAGCCTTTAAATTGTTACTTAGTTCTGCATGATGATAATCGATTCCACTAATACCACATGTAAAATAAAATATTTCTCTGTTTTAAGTCTTGCAGATTAATGTTTAATAAAAATTGGTCCTAACATTTCAGCCTTTGGTTTGATATATACATACATATATATATATAATGTACTTTTTCATACCTTTCATTCCAATCAGGACGTTTTCCAGTGATAATGTAAAACAAGGCAGCAAAGCTGTCAAATGTACAGACAAAGAACAGAAAATAAAGATGCAAATAAGTGAAAAATTAAATTTTCACAAAAAACTGTTAAATTGCCAGAAAAATTTACCAAACAGACTGCGTTGCCTATTGAAGCTGTATGTTAGACCCATGTTTCTTTCCTGTAAGTTTGAGAACAGTAAGTGACATGATTTCCCTTAAATGGTCATCATAGGAGCAGTGCCCAAAATAGGGGTTTCTTCAAATTTTGATGCAACATTACATAATGTTTAACAGCATAATGACAATCAAATGTTATTAATAAAATATTAGTAACATGGACATTCAGAAAATGTGACAAGCAAAAGTCTTCAAGATCATGGAACTTTAAAGTCACACCTTGAAAATGCCAATATGTGAAAAATTAAATTTTCACAAAAAACTGTTTAACTGCCAAAAAAAATAAATAAATAAATAAAAATACCAAACAGACTGCATTGCCTACTGAAGCTGTATTTTAGTCCCATGTTTCTTTCCTGTAAGTTTGAGAACAGTAAGTGACATGATTTTCCTTAAATGGTCATCATGGAAGCAGTGCCCAAAATAGGGGTTTCTTCAAATTTTGATGCAATATTACATAATGTTTAACAGCTTAATGACCATCAATTTTTAATTATAAAATATTTGTTTCACAGATATTCAGAAAATGTGACTAGCAAAGGTCTTCAGGCCCATGGAACTTCAAAGTCACGCCTTGAAAATGCCAAAATGTAAACAAGACAGCACTGTTCTGAAATGGGTTTATTTCCATTTTTAACACTTTTTTAACATAAAACAAAATAAACATTTTACTGCCATTTTATATGACCAACTAAGAAAATTGATGAGATGGGAAAAGTATCAATAGAACAGTGTTAAATGTCCAATTTCCTCCATTCTGAGATTCTGAACATAGTGGATGATTGAATCTGACAAACTGCAATGATATGAGTTTATTTCCATTTTTGACACTTTATTACACAATACATGATAACAAGTTTACCATGTTTTTTACATAATCAACTAACAATGTTGTAAAGATGCAGGAAATATCAAACAAACACTTTTAGGCATCTTATTAGTTAAATAATGAGACTGTTAACATGCCTAATAATTGAATCTGAGGAAATGTGAAAAACAGTATAACTTCTAAAATAATGGCCCGATTATGCTGATTTTCGAACTCAACCTGCGTTTTAGTAAGATTGACCACTCCTGTGAGTATAATTACAATTGGCCAATCCGTTTTTCTTATATTGTGTTATCAGTGTTGCATTTATATTGAAAATAGTGAAAAAACAGCATAAATTCCCTAAAAATGGCCCAATCATGCTGATTTTCGAACTTGACCTGCGTATTATGAATATTCATCAGTTCTGTAAGTTTCAAGTCAAAAGGTAAAATGGTTTTCCACTTATCGTGTTATCGGTGCTGCATATATGCTGAAAAAAGTGAAAAAACAGCATAAATTCCCTAAAAGTGACCCGATCATGCTGATTTTCGAACTTGACCTGCGTATTATGAATATTCATCAGTTCTGTAAGTTTCAAGTCAAAAGGTAAAATGGTTTTCCACTTATCGTGTTATCGGTGCTGCATATATGCTGAAAAAAGTGAAAAAACAGCATAAATTCCCTAAAAGTGACCCGATCATGCTGATTTTCGAACTTGACCTGCGTATTATGAATATTCATCAGTTCTGTAAGTTTCAAGTCAAAAGGTAAAATGGTTTTCCACTTATCGTGTTATCGGTAAAAGTGCACGGCAACGACGGCGACGACGGCGACGACAGACACAGATGATGGCTATATGTACAGACACATCTGTGTCTGTACATAAAAAAAAAAGTGTATATACAAGTTTTATTATTTATATTTATTCATTAAATGTTATTTTCTTATATTTTTATCTTATTATTATCTTTTTATTGAAGGCTTCATTTCTGAGCTGTAAATGAATTTTTTTAACACACTTCTATGTATATCATAACTAAAAAGCACTAAATATGCAAACTTTTATTTGAGGTAAAGCAATTTTTCATGAGTCCTGATTCCTGTCAGGCTCACTGTGGGAAAATGTATTCATGTTCCTGACAATGCACGCTTTACATGTATGGATTTGGATTCTCTCAGTGCCTCTGGAGTAGAAATCACATTACTAGAGTGTGGACCCCTAAATGAGGTATGCATGCACTGTGATCTAAATGCATTTTCCATGTGCTGAGGTCTGAATGTGTTTTCACTGTGCTGGGGTCTACAAGTTATGTACATGTCAAACATCAGTCTAGCCACTGTACTGTCCATGTTTCAACTCATATTTACACCACTAGGATACTATGTCTTCACAGGATCTCAGCATTACTTTTCTTAATTTTAGTTCATTTTTCACCTTTTTATTGGTTTGGTTTAATTTTGACAGTTTTATCTCTGGTGTGAATCCTTTCATGTTCATTACATTTATTTTTTCTTATGAATCTTTTGTCACAGTAATTACATTTGAATGGCTTCTCTCCAGTGTGAGTTCTTTCATGTATCACAAGTAAACTCCTGACTGTAAATCTTTTTCCACAGTAAGAACAAACCAGTGGTTTTAAAATACCTTGGTGATTTTTCACATGACTTAACCAATGTGATCTTGACTTAAAACTTTTGTCACAAAAATCACACTTAAATGGCCTCTCGCCAGTGTGAGTGCGTTCATGTTCTATACAAGCAATTTTGACAGAAAATCCTCGTTCACAATATTGGCATTTGTATGGCTTTTCTCCAGTGTGCTTGTTCATTATATGAATTTTCAAACATGGACCTAAAGCAAAACTTTTTGTACAGTATGTGCACCTATATGGTTTTTCTCCAGTGTGAATTCTCATATGCATCTTTAAATAACAAGCATAGACAAAGGGCTTGCCACAGTGGTTACATTTGTGTTTCTTTTTTTCAGTGTGGATTTTCTCATGCTTTTTAAGAGCTCTGGGTCCCCAACAAGATTTACCACAGTGAGAGCATATTAATTCATGTATTTTTCCATGTTCCACTAGATCAGCCATCCTGGTAAAAGTCTCTTCACAACTTTTACATTTGAGTCTGTCATCTTTGTGAATGACTGCATGGGAAACAAGATGCACTTTCCTCTTGAATGTTCTATCACAATGTGAGCAAGTGTACATGTATGTACTACCAGTAGTAGCACGCAATTTTTTTCTTTTCCTAGTGTGAATTTTCCCAGTGTGAATTTCCATATGTTTCTTCAAATAACAACGATAGGCAAAGGGCTTGCCACAGTGGTTACATTTGTGTTTCTTTTCATCAGTGTGGATCTTCTCATGTTTTTTAAGAGCTCTGGGTCCCCAGCAAGATTTATCACAATGATGGCACTTTAACTCATGGATTTTTCCATGTTCTACTAGATCAGCCATCCTGGTAAAAGTCTTTTCACAACTTTTACATTTGAGTCTGTCATCTGTGTGAATGACTGCATGTGAAACAAGATCCACTTTCCTCTTGAATGTTCTATCACAATGAGAACAAGTGTATATAGCATGAATTTTCTCATGCCTTTTAAGAGCACTTGTCCTCTTAAAAGATTTACCACAATAAGAACAATTCAATTGATTGATTTTGTTATGCCTTGTTCGTTCATTATCCTTACTGAATGTTTTATCGCAATGCAAATAAGTTAATGATTTTGTTCCAGTATCAATGGAAGTTTTCTTGTCATCCTTTACCACGGATTCTGTTTCCGTTGTAGATGTAACATCATCTTTCATACACTCTTCGTTGTGCTTTAAGAAAGCAATCTTGTTGAAAAATTTTTCATTACAATTATGACATCTGAATGGATGCAATATATACATATAATGTCTCTGCCCAGTGTGAGTACTTTCATGTGATCCACATTCATCTGCAGGTGGAAGATTCCTGTCGCAAGTTTCCTCATATCCAAAGCCATATATGGTTTCTTTCTTGATTAAAACCTCACTGGTTTGTTCTTGGTTGTCCAAATTGTGTGTTTCATTTTCTTGATCATTCAAACCGTGTTCTTCTTTTTCTAATTCTGTATGGTTAATGGTCTTTGATTGTTCTAGTTGTGCATCAGCGTTAAGTGATATAATTAATCTCTTCATACTCAAAAAGTCATTTTTTAGTTTTATAAAAGTTTTCATAAAACCCAGACATCTTTCACAACAGGCATCCGAATCATCTGGAGCAGTTAAAATTTTTAAAAGTTCATGAACCTCTCTCTGAACACTAGGAAATAAGGATAGCTTTGTGTACTCGGGTTTACTGGTGCCTTTTGGTGGACCACATATGCAACATTTTTGGTTTATTTCTAAATCTTTGCTTGTAGTAGCTGTGGGAATTTCAGTAGCAAGAAGCCGATCCACGTTATCATGACAGTGAGGAGGAAGTGGAAAAGGCATCTTCGCATACCCGTCAGTTTCTTCACCGTGATCGTTACCTGTTATTGTCCCATCACCACGATTCGCATCTACTACTCCGTTTACAATGATTTTCTCTTGAAACTCACCACCTTGCCCGTTGGCAATCGAGTTTTCAAGTACTTTACCAAGCATAGTAATTGGTGGAGTATACTTTTCATGATAAATGCTCTCTTTAATTCCATTTTCCGAAGTCGTGGACATTATCAGTGTGAATATCTCCTTCTAAAGGATATTTCACAATAATGAACTAAGAAAAACGGATGCACAGTAATAAAGGGAAGCTACTATATTCCGATAATACAATTTATTGCACTTTTTAATTATTATCAATTTCACTTTTGCGTAACAGTTAGGTCTGGCAAATCTGTATTGTTAATTTCTTAACAACAGGTCACTGTGTTACACGATTTTGACACAATTGTTCTTTGTAATGTTTATTAATCCTTGTGGATATAGCTTGTCTTGACTTGCTAATTATAGTACAGTATAGTGAAAGGTACATGAGCGTTGATGGAGCGTGTAACATATAAACCACTTCTAAAAATTTCTTATACAACTCAAATAAATTCGACATGTCAAGGGACAAACTGAGTAAACTATATGCTGGCATTTGTAGCCAAAAATTTGACTTCATATGCATCTGTAGATCTCTGTAATATTCAGTGATTGGGGCATCAGTTTCACAGAGAAGCTAGGAATCAGCTGATGCTGAATAGGATATAGGCACGCCAAATTTGCATTTTTTGTTTAAACTCGGCAGACTTTTCAACTTCACATTAACTCATAAACACACACACATATATATATATATATATATATATATATATATATATATATATATATATTAATTAACTTTATATATATATATGTTTATGAGTTAATGTGAAGTATATATATATATATATTCATTAATTAACTTTACTTCTCTATTCTGGTACTTTTCTTCAATTTAATTAATTTTATTTATTTATTTAGACTCCACATCAATAAAAATACATTCTGCAGACCTTAATTACCAGTTTGTCATGGTTGCATGGAATTACCTGGTGCTGGTTAAAAACAACAAAGCTACACCAGAGGGCTGACGTTGTGCATTTTAAGACGCAACAGGGTTCTTCAACAGTGTTTTCTTTCATTAATATACAGTGTAGTTATTTCAAAATGAAAGGAAAAAAATAATTTTATGTGTACTAGTATTGTATGGTCCTACTGCTGTGAGCATGCAGTAAGATAACATCCCTATTCTTTACGTCTCCGCTCCGATACTTCCTGCATCAATACATGTACACGTTTGCACTACTTTGGTACTCCTCCTTAATTGAATGAGGGAGAGAGAGAGGAAAGGTATAGAATCCATAAAAATGTCCTGAGGACTTAACAACCAAAAAAGAAAATCAAAAGGATTTTTTCAAACTGAAAATTTTTGATATTAAAAGTAAAGACAAAAATGTCCAATTATAATGTTCTGCAAAGTAATTTTTCTAATTAGTTTTATTAATCATCTGAGCCTTTAAATTGTTACTTAGTTCTGCATGATCAGATGATAATTGATTCCACTTATACCACATATAAAATAAAATTTTTCTCTCTGTTTTAAGTCTTGCACATTAATGTTTTTATAAAAATTGGTCCTAACATTTCAGCCTTTGGTTTGATATATACGTTTTCATATAAATTAAAGCCATAAAGTAGGATTCAAAATGTATTCTAAGTGCTTTGATTGCTTGCAAATCCAGGGGTAATGCAGTTTATCCTGAGCTAATTCATTACATTTTAATTTCCACGTCCAAATTAATCCTCTTTAATGTACTTTTTCATTCCAATTAGGACATTTTCCAGTGATTATATATATATATATTCATTCTTCGTGTATACAAGTTTTATTATTTATATTTATTCATTAAATGTTATTTTCTTATATTTTCATCTTATCATTATGTATTTATTGAAGGCTTCATTTCTGAGCTGTAAATAAAATTTTTTTAACACACTGCTATGTAGATCATAACTAAAAAGCACTAAATATGCAAACTTTTATTTGAGATAAAGCAATTTTTCATAAGTCCCCGATTCCTGTCAGGCGTATACTGTGGGCAAATGTATTTGTGTTCCTGACAGTGCATGCTGTACATGTATGGATTTGGATTCTCTCAGTGCCTCTGGAGTAGAAATCACATTACTAGAGTGTGGACCCCTAAATGAGGTATGCATGCACTGTGATCTAAATGCATTTTCCATGTGCTGAGGTCTGAATGTGTTTTCACTGTGCTGGGGTCTACAAGTTATGTACATGTCAAACATCAGTCTAGCCACTGTACTGTCCAAGTTTCAACTCATATTTACACCACTAGGATACTATGTCTTCACAGGATCTCAGTATTACTTTTCGTAATTTTAGTTCATTTTTCACCTTTTAATTGGTTTGGGCTAATTTTGACAGTTTTATCTCTGGTGTGAATCCTTTCATGTTCATTACATTTATTTTTTCTTATGAATCTTTTGTCACAGTAATTACATTTGAATGGCTTCTCTCCAGTGTGAGTTCTTTCATGTACCACAAGTAAACTCCTGACTCTAAATCTTTTTCCACAGTAAGAACAAACCAGTGGTTTAATACCTTGGTGATTTTTCACATGACTTAACCAATGTGATCTTGCCTTAAAACTTTTGTCACAAAAATCACACTTAAATGGCCTCTCACCAGTGTGAGTGCGTTCATGTTCCATACAAGCAATTTTGACAGAAAATCCTCGTTCACAATATTGGCATTTGTATGGCTTTTCTCCAGTGTGCATGTTCATTATATGAATTTTCAAACATGCACCTAAAGCAAAACTTTTTGTACAGTACGTGCACCTATATGGTTTTTCTCCAGTGTGAATTCTCATATGTTTCTTTAAATCATAAGCATAGGCAAAGGGCTTGCCACAGTGGTTACATTTGTGTTTCTTTTTTTCAGTGTGGATTTTCTCATGCTTTTTAAGAGCTCTGGGTCCCCAACAAGATTTACCACAGTGAGAGCATATTAATTCATGGATTTTTTCATGTTCCACTAGATCAGCCATCCTGGTAAAAGTCTCTTCACAACTTTTACATTTGAGTCTGTCATCTTTGTGAATGACTGCATGGGTAACAAGATCCACTTTCCTCTTGAATGTTCGATCACAATGTGAGCAAGTGTACATGTATGTACTACCAGTAGTAGCACACAATTTTTCACTTTTCCTTGTGTGAATTTTCCCAGTGTGAATTTCCATATGTTTCTTCAAATCACAACGATAGGCAAAGGGCTTGCCACAGTGGTTACATTTGTGTTTCTTTTCATCAGTGTGGATCTTCTCATGTTTTTTAAGAGCTCTGGGTCCCCAACAAGATTTATCACAATGACGGCACTTTAACTCATGGATTTTTCCATGTTCCACTAGATCAGCCATCCTGGTAAAAGTCTTTTCACAACTTTTACATTTGAGTCTGTCATCTTTGTGAATGACTGCATGGGAAACAAGATCCACTTTCCTCTTGAATGTTCTATCACAATGAGAACAAGTGTACATGTATGTACTACCAGTAGTAGCACGCAATTTTTTTCTTTTCCTAGTGTGAATTTTCCCAGTGTGAATTTCCATATGTTTCTTCAAATCACAATGATAGGCAAAAGGCTTGCCACAGTGGTTACATTTGTGTTTCTTTTCATCAGTGTGGATCTTCTCATGTTTTTTAAGAGCTCTAGGTCCCCAGCAAGATTTATCACAACAACGGCACTTTAACTCATGGATTTTTCCATGTTCCACTAGATCAGCCATCCTGGTAAAAGTCTTTTCACAACTTTTACATTTGAGTCTGTCATCTGCGTGAATGACTGCATGTGAAACAAGATCCACTTTCCTCTTGAATGTTCTATCACAATGAGAGCAAGTGTATATAGCATGAATTTTCTCATGCCTTTTAAGAGCACTTCATAAAAGATTTATCACAATAAGAACAATTCAATTGATGGATTTTTTCATGCCTTGTTCGTTCATTATCCTTACTGAATGTTTTATCGCAATGCAAATAAGTAATTGATTTTGTTCCAGTGTCAATGGAAGTTTTCTTGTCATTCTTTACCACAGATTCTATTTCCGTTGTAGATGTAACATCATCTTTCATACACTCTTCGTTGTGCTTTAAGAAAGCAATCTTGTTGAAAAATTTTTCATTACAATTCCAACATCTGAATTGATGCAATATATACATATAATGTCTCTGCCCAGTGTGAGTACTTTCATGTGATCCACATTCATCTGCAGGTGGAAGATTCCTGTCGCAAGTTTCCTCATATCCAAAGCCATATATGGTTTCTTTTTTGATTAAAACCTCACTGGTTTGTTTTTGGTTGTCTGAATTGTGTGTTTCATTTTCTTGATCATTCAAACCGTGTCCTTCTTCTTCTAATTCTGTATGGTTTCTGGTCTTTGAAAGGTCTAGTTGTGCATCAGCGTTAAGTGATATAATTAATCTCTTCATACTCAAAAAGTCATTTTTTAGTTTTATAAAAGTTTTCATAAAACCCAGACATCTTTCACAACAGGCATCCGAATCATCTGGAGCAGTTAAAATCTTTAAAAGTTCATGAACCTCTCTCTGAACACTAGGAAATAAGGATAGCTTTGTGTACTCAGGTTTACTGGTGCCTTTTGGTGGACCACATATGCAACATTTTTGGTTTATTTCTGAATCTTTGCTTGTAGTATCTGTGGGAATTTCAGTTGCGAGAAGCCGATCCTCGTTTTCATGACAGTGAGGAGGAAGTGGAAAAGGCATCTTCGCATCCCCTTCAGTTTCTTCACCGCGATCGTTGCCTGTTATTGTCCCATCACCAGGGTTCGCATCTACTCCGTTTACAATGATTTTCTCTTGAAACTCACCACATTGCCCGTTGGCAGTCGAGTTTTCACGTACTTCACCAAGCAAAGTAATTGGTGGAGTACACTTTTCATGACAAATGCTCTCCATAATTTCATTTTCCGCAGTCGTGGGCATTATCGGTGTGAATATCTCCTTCTAAAGGATATTTCACAGTAAACTATGGCAAACGGATGCACAGTAATAAAGGGAGGCTACTATATTCCGATAATACAATTTATTGCACTTTTCAAAGCCAATTATTAATTTCAATTTTACGTAAAAGTTAGGTCTGGCAAATCTGTCTTGTTAATTTCTTAACAACAGATCACTGTGTTCCACGATTTTGACACAATTGTTCTTTGTTATGTTTATTAATCCTCGTGGATATAGCTTGTCTTGACTTGCTAATTACAGTACCAAGGGTACATGAGCGTTGATGGAGCGTGTAACACATAAAAACCACTTCTAATAATTTCTTATATGACTCAAATGAATTCGACATGTCAAGGGCCAAATGAATAAACTATATGCTGGCATTTGTAGCCAAAAAACTGGCTTCATATGCATCTGTAGATCTCTGTTATATTCAGTGATTGGGGTATCAGTTTTTCACAGAGAAGGAATCAGCTGATGCTGAATAGGACATAGGCACGCCAAATTTGCATTTTTTTGTTTAAACTCGGCAGACTTTTCAACTTCACATTAACTCATATATATATATATATATATATATATATATATATATATATATAAACTTTATTTCTCTATTCTAGTACTTTTCTTCAATTTAATTAATTTTATTTATTTATTTATTTAGACTCCACATCAATAAAAATACATTCTGCAGACCTTACAATCAAAACACAAACTTAAGTCAAAAGGATTACTTCAAATTAAAAAGAAGCACTAGTATTAAAAGTCAAGAGAAAATAATCCTGTTATACAAGAGATGTTCTGTAAGGTAACTATAAAATGTTCTATTATATATTCTTTTAAGTTGAGTTTTCAGTTCTTTGTTAAAATAATCTGCCAAGTTTATGTAAGTTCTGCTTATCATTAATTCCACTTCAAGCGCCACATGTAAAAGGTTTTTATCCATTGCTTTATGCCTTATACTTTGAGGTTTTCAGAATTTTTGGTCCTTAATTCTCAACATTTTGTTACGTGTCTATATTAAGCATTACTTATCATATAAATCAAACATTTCTTTCCAATCTGGGTATTTTTCAGGTACAGTGTAAAAATATCCTTTCTGCTCTTATTGGTTTCACCATTGTAGGTAAAAGTTTCATTTCTGAGCTGTAAAAGAAAATTTTATCAAGCTGTGATGTGTACCATAACATAAAAAATTACATATTTCATAGTTTAATTTAAAGTAAAGCAATTTGCCTTAATTAAGTCAGGATCTCTGAATGTGACCCCTCTGTGCTGGGGTCTGCATGTACTTTACATGTGAAACTTATGAAAAAGAGTTGTATTGTCCAAGTTCCAACTGACATTAACACCATTAGAGTACTCTGAATTCATAGAAAATTCACTAAACATTACATTCTAAATTTTTAGGTCAACTTTAATTTGGCTGGATATATTATGACGGTTTTTCTCCTCTGTGATTCCTTTCATGTACATTGCATTTGTCTTTTCTTATAAATGTTTTGTCACAGTATTTGCATTTGAATGGCCTCTCTCCTGTATGAGTTCTCTCATGTATAACAAGTCTACTCCTGATACCAAATCTTTTTCCACAGTAAGAACAAACATGTGGTTTAATTCCTTGATGATCCTTAACATGTCTTAAATGATTTGATTTTCTGGCAAATCTTTTGTCACAAAAATCACACTTAAATGGCCTCTCCCCAGTGTGAGAGCGTTCATGTTCTTCCCAAGAGACTTTGACAGAAAATCCTCGTTCACAAAATTGGCATTTGTATGGCTTTTCACTAGTGTGCATGGTCAATTCATGCACTTTCAAAGCTGAGATCAAAGCAAACCTTTTTCCACAGTAAGAACAAACTTGTTTAATTCTTTGATGATTCTTAACATGAAATCTCCAATTGGATTTTCTGGCAAATCTTTTGTCACAAATATCACACTTAAAAGGCTTCTCTCCAGTGTGAGAGCGTTCATGTTCTACACAATGAATTTTGGTAGTAAATCGGCTTGCACAATATTGGCATTTGTATGGCTTTTCTCCAGTGTGCATGGTCATTTCATGAATTTTCAAAGTTGCCTTCAAAGCAAACCCTCTTGCACAGTACTGACATATATGTGGCTTTTCTCCAGTGTGAGTTCTCATGTGTAGCTTCAATTCACTATCACTGGGAAAGGGCTTGCCACAGTGTTTACATTTGTGCTTCTTTTCATTGATGTGAATTTTTTTCTCATGACTTTTAAGAGCCTTAAATCCCCAACAAGATTTACCACAGTGAGAGCATATTAATTCATGGATTTTTCCATGTTCAACTAGATCAGCCACCCTGGTAAAAGTCTTTTCACAACTTTTGCATTTCAGTTTGTCATTTTTGTGATCAGCTTTGTGCAAAAGAAGTTTCCTTCTGCTCTCAAATGTTCTATCACAATGAGAGCAAGTGTATATACTGTGCGATTCCTTACTAGTGTGAATTTTCTCATGCCTTTTAAGAGCATTTGTTCCCATATAAGATTTTCCACAATAAGAACATTTCAGTTGATGGGTTTTTTTATGCCTTGTAAGTGTATTTCTCTTACTGAATGCTTTATCGCAATACAAACAAGAAAATGGTTTTGTTCCAGTATCAATGGCCTTTTTCTTTTTATCATTCTTTACTGCAGTTTTAGTTTCCTTTGCTTCATCTTTCATACCTGTACACTCTTTGTAGTGAATTAGGAACTCTGTCTTGTTGAAAAAATTTTCATTACAATTTCTGCATATGAATGGATGCAATATTGATAAATAATATTTTTGCCCAGTGTGAGTACTTTCATGTGCATAAAATTCATCTACAGGTGCAAGATTCCTGTTGCAAATTTCCTCATATCCAAAGCCAATGGTTTCTTGCTTGATTAGAACCTCACTACTAGTATTTTGTTCTTGGTTGTCCAAATTGTGTGTTTCATTTTCTTGATCATTCAAAGTGTGGTCTTCTTCTTCTAATTCTGTATGGTTATTGGACTTAGATAGTTCTAGTTGTGCATCAACATGAAGTGATATAATTAATCTCTTCATACTCAAAAAGTCATTTTTCAGCTTTATTAAAGTTTTCATAAAACCCAGGCATCTATCACAACAGACATCTGAATTGTCTGGAGCAGTTAATATCTTCAAAAGTTCACGGACTTCTTTCTCAACACCAGGAAATAAGGATAGCTTTGAGTACTCAGTTTTACGGGCACCTTTTGGTGGACCACATATCAAGCATCTCTGGTTAATTTCTGTATCTTTACAGTTACTTGCAGTCTCTGTTGCAAAAAGTTGTTTCTCATTATCATGACTGTGAAGAGGTGGAGGAGACATCACAGCATCATCATCTTTTTCTTCACAACGTCCAACATGCTGTTCTCTTTGACCGTTGTCTTTTATTGTTCCATCTCCCAGACTGTCATCAACTTCGTTTAATAATACTTTCTCTCTTTCAGACGCTATATTGCGCAATTCAGTGAGACCCTGGCCGTCTTGCCCCAGAGCCATCGAGTTTTCACTTATTTCACCAGGCAAAGGCATTGGTGAGGTGTCGCAGGTGATGTCTTTTTCGTGATCAGTACATTCTTCAATCTCATTTTCCGCAGTGGTGGACATTATCGACGTAGAAATCGGCAGTATTAAATGAAGCCAAATGCACAGTAAAAAAGGGCAATTACTAACATCTGATAGTACAATTTATTGCTGTTTAAGGGACCGTTTCCACAGATATTTGGATCTATCTATCTCCCTGGGGAGTCTTACTAAATTGTTATCAATTTGACCGGCTTAAATGTCTATCACACCTAGTAAAGCTGTTAGGGGGTAATTATCTTTATCCCTGATTCGGTAGGCGTGACACATTTAAGCCGGTTATAGTAGTTTATTGATAGCAATTAAGTGAGACTTCCCAGGGAGTTATAGACTGATCCATCTAGGGATGGGAACCCAGTCTAAGTGAAGGGCATATGTGTGTGTGTGTGTGTGTGTGTGTGTGTGTGTGTGTGTGTTTCTTTTTTTAAAAATATATCTGTATTTCTTTTTTCTTATATGTTAAAACAGTTCATCATCCTCACGGTATTACACCCCATTTCCATAGATTTTAGATCGATCTATCCCTGTGGGGAGTCTCACTAGATTACTGTCAGCTTAGCCGGCTTAAGTGTCTGTCCCGCCTACTGAAAGCTGTAAGGGGCTAATTAACTATGGTGCACGCTCGACTGACTGCAATTTAGCTTGAACCCCCAGGGAGTTATATAGGTCGATCTAAATCTTAATCCCTGGATTGATCTAAATCTCTGGGAATACACCCTTACACCATACACAATTGTTCTTTGTTATGTTTATGAATATTAATGGGTAGCTTAATTAATTAATTAATTATCTGGATTTCCTAATTCCATTATGCAATATTAATAAGGGTCTGAATAAATTGGGGGTGGGGCAGAACAAACTAGTTTGACATTCATATTGTTGGAACAGGCTGAAGATAGTACTAGCTAGCTAGGATATATAGGCACCCAAAATTGGCAATGTTTACTTCAACCCGACATCCTATAGTTATTTTCAAGTCATTACTCTCCCACAGAAAATATGGTTAATGAGCATAGCAAAGATTCCCTTGGCTTTGTTTAAATTACACGCGACATCCAAAATAATTCTAAATAAACTTTTTTGTATAAGCTTTGATCTTTTTCAAAATTGTAACGTACCCTTCTAGGACCCAAAACTGACACCTTTTGTTCAAAATATTGTGGAAAGATTTGGAAACAAATACTGGAATTGGTTTGCTTTGTGACTTCACTAGATTGAACTTTTACAACAGAGTTTGCGTGCAGCTCGCCTTTGTGATTTTTTAGATATATCTGTATACTTCACTGTTTTTGGACATTGGTTACAGTATAAAGATTACACTCCCTTTTTGTATTTATTTATTTATATCTATTTTACCCAAACTTTGTTTTTACCATAAATAAATAACATATTGCACCATACTGGTAGTCTTTTCTTCAGGCACTGTTCAGTTTGTTAATCGAATTATTGAGTGATAAAAAGCAGTGTTTAAGCTGTAGATTGTCACCTTTGTTACAGACTTAATTTGCATAAATGTGGAATTTTACAAGTTACACTGTCCTAGCTTGGGCAATTCTAGGAAACTGGATAACAAGAGTCGACTGTGTAGTCGGTAGATGAATTTCATTTTTATAAATTCAGATATGGTTAATGAGCATAGCAACTAAATCCTTAGGTCAGTTATAATTGGTATTAAAAAGAATTTTAACTCTATATTCATAGGGGTATGTAAAATACAATGTATAGGTGATTTAAAAGCATAAAAACGCAACATCAAAGGTTTCCCTGTGGTTATTTGTAAATCATAATTCACACCAATAATTGAATGCATTTTTCCATTAAAAAAAAAATTCTCCAATTTATGGTAGGTCACGGTCCCGGCTTGTTAGCCAATTTATCAAATTTAAATTATTTTAAATCTATTTTTAATACAATATCGATGAATAACAATGTTGGTATCATGAAAATTGCATAAGGGAGTAATGATACAGGGGAGTTCTTGGTGTGGAGGAATAATGGTCAATATTTTTACAGGAAATGTATCCATGTAGGGTTCTATCAGTGTGAGGTCAAATCAATGTGTATAATGCAAAAAAAAAAAAAAAAATTGACTAGGGGTAGTAGGGGAAGTATCAGCGAGGGAAGAGTATCTATGCAGGTACACATCAGTGAGGGGTGTATGGACATGGCCCTAAAATGGCTTGCCAACTTCTTAATTAACTGAGAATTTACCATTTCTTTGTACAGGTGATACTTGTTCAATGTACTAACCCAATACTCCGTCTAAGAGCGCATTCAGATCAGTCGACTAACATATCTGCAGATCAAATATGGTGACCCACTAAAAAGCTTGCAGCTTAATTCTGAATAGATTCCTGGCAGGGAATATGCAACAAGTCTTTAAGTGGGTTGGCCATATTTGATCTGTGGATTTGTTAGTCTGCTGTTCCGAATGCGTTCTATCCCTAGCCTGTACTCATCATATGGGACCCTGTACTTCCATTCCTTGGACTTCTAATCCCTCCCCAACGCACCACTGCAATGTCTTTTGGTTGCAAATAAATTGGATTACCATTATTATTATTATTGTAATAGTAAAGAGATGTCCAGTTCAAATGTTCTTTTAAGTATAAAATGTTCATTTAAAATTTCTTTCAAAGAAGAGTTTTCAGTTCTTTGGTGAAGTCATCTGCTAAGCTTATTTTCTTAGTTCTAATGGTAATTGATTCCATTCATGTATATCATAAATAAAAAGAACTTAAGATATTTTTTTCAAAGCAAAGCAATGTTCCTTTGTGTCACATAAATAGTGAATGTGGATTTCAAGTAACAAATATAAATCACTTCTACTAGTTTCATAATGGACTAATTTAAAATAAAGTCCAAATGCCAAGTCAAAAACCAAATTAATCTCTTGTTCAGCCGGAAAAATACTGTAATGACTCAATCCTTTCAATGGGCAAAAATGATCAAACTTTCAGATACCTCATTTTAAAATCATAAACATTATATTTTTGTACAGCATTTGTGATTTTAATGCATAAAACAGAATTATAAGGTATTCTGATGTTCAGTTTTGTTGCAACCACTCATTAGGATTGCTCTTATTTAAAAAAATTAGACTTGAAAAAATACAGTATCTGTAAAATTCACATTTATCTCAATTGAAAAGATCCAAGTTATTACACATTAAAACTGCACCTTCTTTAAAAATTTTTAGATCTTTACACTGATTGGGCAAATTTTGGCTGTTTTCCTCCAGTGTGATTCCTTTCATGTGCATTGCATTTGGATTTCCTTAAAAATGTTTTATCACAGTATTTACATCTGAATGGCCTCTCTCCCGTGTGAGTTCTTTCATGTATAGCAAGTATGCTCCTGACACTAAATCTTTTTCCACAGTAAGAACAAACTTGTGGTTTAATTCCAAGGTGGTTCTTAACATGACATCTCCAATTTGATTTTCTAGCAAATCTTTTGTCACAAAAATCACACTTAAATGGCTTCTCACCCGTGTGAAAACGCTCGTGTTCTTCACAAGCAATTTTGGTTGAATATCCCCGTTGACAATATTGGCATTTGTGTGGCTTTTCTCCAGTGTGCATGGTCATTTCATGCATTCTCAAATTTGAGCTTCGAACAAAGCTTTTAGTACAGTACTGACATAAATATGGCCTCTCTCCAGTGTGAGTTCTTATATGTGAATCTAGTTCTCTTCTATAGAGGAAAGACTTGTTACAGATGTAACATACATGTGGTTTTTCAGCACTGTGAACTTTCTCATGTTTTTCAAGAGCCCTTCTTCCCCAACATGATTTACCACACTGGGAACATTTTAATTCGTGAGATTTTTCATGTTTCCACAGATCACCTTTACTGGTAAAAGGCTTATCACATTGTTTACATTTGAGTCTGTCATCCTTGTGAATAACTTCATGTAAATCTAGTGCCCTTATCCTATTGAAAGTCCTCTCACAGAATGAGCAATTGAATATTTTTGTTTTCCATTTGGATTTCTCAGTATGGGTTTTCTCATGCCTTTTAAGAGCTCTAGTTCCCCAATAAGATTTACCACAATAAGAACAGGTCAATTCATGAATCTTTTCATGCTCTACAAGGTCAGTTGTCCTGGTGAATGACTTTTCACAGTGCTCACATTTAAAAACTTTTTTACCAGTGTGAACTCTCTCATGTAAAACAAGTGTATTTCCCCTAGTGAATGTTTTTTCACAATATGCACAATTGTAAATTTTCATTTGGGCATCAGTGGCTTCTTTTTTCTTATCATTATTTTTTATCTGATTTTTCTGTTTCTTTGAAGATATCAAACCAATGTTCTTCAAACAATTGTTCTTGTGTCTTAAGAATGCCAGCTTACTAAATATTTTTTCATTACAGTGTTGACATTTAAATACTCTTACAATTGATACGAAATGCCTTTGTCTAGAGTGAGTACTTTCATGCCTTGTACATTCATCTGCACTTGCAAAGTTACTGAAGCAAATTCTACAAATTAAAGATTTGTCTGTTTTCTCCAGTTCTGTATGTACACCTTTATCTTTGTTATTATTATGATATTGACATTCAACTGTTTTTTCTATGGTGTTAATATTTCTGTGTTCCTTCACAATATGAATCTTTAAGTCAGATGACTGTGTATAGGTTTCACTGCAGTGCTGACACTTGTAAACCTCTGTGCTTTTCTTTTCTTCATCACGATTATCTTCACCATATTCGTGCTTGGTAGTTTCAAGCTTGATGAGCCCCTCAACAGTTTGTTCTTGACAAGTATTCATTTGATTGCCTTTGCTTTGGTGTCTTTTGCCACATACTTCCTCATGATTTTGACTGTTTTGCAATTCTAACTGCACATCAAGGTGAAGACCAACTATCTTCCGCTTAACGATGAGAAAATCATTCTTAAGATTTATAAATAGCTTCATTAAATCCAGGCAGCTACCACAACAAATATCTGATTCACTTGGTGGAGGAAGTGTTTTCAAAAGTTTACGAATTTCTCTTTCAATATGTAGGCAGGAGGATAGAATTGTGTATTCAGTATCATCAGTTCCGTTAGAGCTGCCACAAACTAAACACCTGAGACGTTGTTTTTGCTTGTTACATAGAGATTCCACACGCTGTTCATCTGTATTTTTGTGTAGAGGAGACGAAAGATGTGTTTTGACACTGCTATCGTGGTCTTCTGCACTCCCAATTTCAACATGTATTCCTTGGCGGCTTTCACTATTTGTAACATCTTCAGGCCTGGCAACCTCTCCGTTTGGATATTCATCCTGTCCATCAAAAATCGAGTTCTGGTCACCTTCGCACGATAAAGACGGAGACGGCTTAGAGCATATGTTACCTGTCTTTTCGTCAGTTCCATTTACCGCTCTCGTGTGCATGATCGACGCCTTAACAACGCTCAACAGGAAAACTTACAGTGTGCAAAATGACTTCAGGCTATCAGCATATTACTACATGAGGTAGCACTTGGGGTTGACCCTTCAGAGTAGATCTAGACTCCTAAAACGGTTAAAACTGGGGTTAAAACTTAGCTGGTAAAAACTCAGATCACTGTATGACCATAAAGCGTAAAAAAGAAAATGACTATCAGTCGATATCCTCGTCTTTTAAATCAGGTTTATGAAAACTTAAAAAAAAAAAAGAATTAAAAACAGTTAAATTCCATTTCTGCATTTCTGTAAAAATATAATTGGTAATTTGGACATAACACCTTTTTCGCAGCAACAATCTTGTCTAATTTCAAGGCGTTGACCAACAAATCAAGTTAGCTTGTCTTTGCTTGACCAGCTAATTCACACGATAAATCAGAATGCGTTATGCTATATATGCAGGGCTGCTTAGCAATTACACTAATTATAAATAATAATTTAGATGATAATAAAAAATACTTTATTGAATGTCAAACTAACAAAGCAGCCCGAGACCAGAAAAATATTTTTTTTTTAATAAACTACTTTTTTTATCAGCTTATGGTCTGCCATAAATTGCATCCTTTTTTTTTTCAAAGTTAACAATGTGCACTGGTCTTCTTTTAGAAGAAATTATAGGCTTTGGTTGCATTTGTATATAATTATATATTTTTCATTTACTCGTGTAGATGTATGCACTTTAATAAATAAAACATTTTTTTCCGTCACACTTTTATTTTGTGCCCTTTGTAGCATCTCCCATACAATATCTGTAACATCATCAGACTAAGTAGCTCCTTTCTTTTTCATCTGTATCCACCAATTGCTTGGTATCTATTTAATTAAAGATTGCCAATATTTCATACCCGCAGGCACATTATGTGCAAACAAAATCATAAACTGCATAGGCTTGTATTAATTTAATTGATGAAAATATATAGTAATATGTGACTATCATCAAAAGAAATGGTAAATTTTACTAATTTTTTTTTTTTTTTAATTAATAAATTTTTAAAATTGGGACAATCCTATTGAGTGCAGTGGCAGATTTAGAGGGGGGGTCAGGGGGGTCCTAACAACCCCTTCGGTTTCTGAAAAAAAAATCACTCTAATATTCCCCTCTTGGAATTAGAATTTTGATTGGCTGATTTATAGTACTAAATTGTACCAAATAGCACCCAGTAGCACCATTCTCCAAATGGCACCGGGGGTGGGGGGGTCAGCTTCGCAGCCACGCCCCCCCCCCCTTCAAATAATCCTGGATCCACCCCTGGAGTGGTAGCAACACAATTCAGAACAGCAGACCACCAAATATTTTTATTCTATACAGTAAAAGCACCAAGCTGCTACATAGAAATGTATATTTAATGATTCCATAATTATATATCTGAAAAACTGATAATTTTCCACTGTTGAAATGATTGTGCCATTATCGTAATTTATGAGTATAAAACCAAGCTTTATAAACATCTTTATTGTTGTAGAATTTGTAGAATTCACGTTTAACAATGTAGTATTACAGTCCAGATTCAGTAAAAATTTGCCAACAATGCAATTACTATTTCACCAGTGTCAGTTTGACAACTCTATTTCAACTTCTGCCTAGTTCTGTAAAGGAGGTGGTTACTGTAATTCATGCGTGTATCTCTACATAACACTGTAAATACAACAATAACATCACAACCCTGGCACATACATGTTATACCCATAGGCATTAGAATTATCTCCATGATAAACAGCCTCTGGAGTAGGGAACACATTACTGGAGTGTGGACCCCTAAATGAGGTTTCCATATGCTGAGATCTCAATGTACTGTCAGTGTGCTGAGGTCTGAATGTACTCTCACTGTGCTGGGGTCTATATGTGCTATCAAACTGTTGACTGATGAATGAACTGTCCAACTGCTGACTCATTACCAAACCATCAGAGTTCTCACTGTTGAGACTGTCCTCAGGATGTCGATTTTTATATAAGTCAGATTGATTTTTTTCCTTATTACAAGATAAACCCTTTCTGCTGGGTTTTCCCCCAGTGTGCTTCTTTTCATGTGTGTTACAGTTACTTTTTCTATTGAATGTTTTATCACAGTGTTTGCACCTATATGGTTTTTCACCAGTGTGAGTCCTTTCATGTCTACCAAGGGTAAATCTGTCACGGAATCTTTTTCCGCAGTATGAGCACACATGAGGTTTAATGCCAAGGTGGGTTTTCACATGATCTCTCCAATTGGATTTTCTCACAAATCTTTTGTTACAGTGATCACACTTAAAAGGCTTTTCCCCCGTGTGAAAACGTACATGTTCTTCACACGCTAATCTGGTTGGAAAGCCTCTATCACAGTACTGACATTTGTGTGGCCTCTCTCCAGTGTGTTGGGTCCTTTCATGTGATTTTAAAGTTGAACTCTGGGCAAAGCGTTTGGTACAGTACTGACACAAGTAAGGTTTTTCTCCAGTGTGAGTTCTTTCATGGTCTTGCCATGTTGTTCTATATGCAAATGACATATCACAGCTCTTACATTTGTATGGTTTTTCCATAGTATGATATTTCTCATGCCTGTTAAGAGCTTCTGTTCCCCAACAAGATTTTCCACAATGCGAACACTTAAATTCATGTGATTTATCATGTTCCACAAAATCATCTTTCTTGGTAAAAGATTGTGCACAATGTTTACATTTGAATCCCTCAACAGAGTGAATAGTTTCATGTGCCTGAAGTTGACTTTTCCAAGTGAAACTTTCATCACAGTGTGAACATTTGTATGTATTCATGTTCTTTTGTGGTATTTCACCATTGTGATTCCTCTCATGTTTGATAAGAGCTCTCGTTCCCCAACAAGATTTACCACAAAAAGAACATTGTAATTCATGCATCCTTTCATGCTCCATTAGTTCATCTTTCCTGGTAAAAGATTTTTCACATTGCTTACATTTGAGTCTGTCGCCAATGTGAATACTTTCGTGCAAGACAAGGGAGCTTCCTCTGTTAAATGTTTTATCACAGTGTGAGCATTTGTAGATTTTTGTTTTGCTTTTATGCCCTTCCTCTGAGTGAACTCTCTCATGTTTGATAAGAGCTCTTGTTCCCCTACAAGATTTACCACAGTAAGAACATTTCAGTTCGTGGATTTTTTCATGAGCCATTAAATCTTCTTTCCTCATAAAAGATTTTTCACATTGTTTACATTTTAGTCTGTCATAAGTGTGAATCATTTCATGCATTACAAGTGCATGCTTCTTACTGAGAATTTTATCACAGTGTGAGCATTTAAATATTTCAGGTTTCTGGTTCAGTTTTGCAGTGTGGGTTTTTTCGTGCCTGCCTAAAGCTCTAGGCCCCCAACAAGATTTACTGCAATAAGAACATTTCAATTCATGAACTTTTCCATGCTCTCTCAGGTGTCCAGCTCTGGTAAAAGACTCTTCACAATATTCACATTTAAAAATGGTTTCCCCAGTGTGAGATCTTTCATGTAAGGCATGAGCACTTGCCTTACTGAACTTTCTGTTACAATGGCAACAATTGTATATTTTTCTTTGTAAATGTGTGGTCTCTATGTACTCATTATTTGTAGTGTTCTTTTCAAGCCTTTCTCTTTCTTCAGTATTTTCTTTAACAAACCCAATATCTATTATTTCATGCTTAATGATCATTTCACTGTCTTGTTCTTGACTGCTGGGATCATGTGTTTCATTGTCCTCATCACTTGTGTTAGGATCATCAGTATCATATTCCTCACACTTTCGACCATTTTGTATTTCTAACTGCCCATCAATGTGTAGAGCTGTTATTCTCCGTTTCATTTGCTGAAAATCATTCTTAAGGCTTACAAAGATTTTCATCAATTCCAAACATCTGCCACAACAAACATCAGATTCTGCAGGAGGAGAAAGTATTTTTAAAAGCTCATGGATTTCTCTCTCAATATCTGGACAAGTTGACAGCTTTATATATTCAGCCTTAGAAGAGTCTTTGTGTGGGCCACAGACCAAACACCTGATCCTTTGTTTTCTATGTTTGCTCCTCAAATTATCAGTTATCTTGGTGTTATTGCACAGTGTATCAGTATCATGACTGAGTTCACTTAGATCATGCATTTTTACATTATTTTCAATGATTTCATCATCCACACTTTTATGGAGTGCCCCTTGTGGCATTTCTCTATCATTATATGTAGCATCCTCAGACTCAGTACCTTCTTTGTTTAAGGTCATTTCTTCTTCACCTGGATCAATACTTTGTCCATGAACAGATACATTTTCAAAACTTTTCTTTGATGAAGTGAGTGATAGGCCATGGGTATCTTTTTTACCAAGTGACTTTTCTTCAATTTTGCTCTTCTCTGGCTCAGACATTATTACCATTGAAACCAATAGCACCTGGAATATATTATGAAATTATTGTTGACACTGCAAATAAAAGATGGCTCTGAAGTCATATTTTTGCCATACAACCCATCCAAATGCCACAATACAGTTTTAGAAAGTATAACTTACAGAAATTCTACAAGGCGTCATTTCGTATTTCCCAAAAATGCTATTTGTAAAGGTATTTTCCTCTTTTTGTCTGAGCCATAAATAACCCTCAGTTGTCGGCAACTCATTTAAATAATTGCACACGCAATGTGCCATATATTTTTAAGCTTGGACCTAACTNGTGAGAGAGAGAGAGAGAGATGTGGGAAAAAGCATTATTTTTATATTTAAAAAGAGTCTGAAAACACATATTTATAGATTTAAACCCTTGCAACAATTCAAGATAACATTTCTTTTTTTCCAAAATCGCTTTAATATATATCTTCATAATAACTATATAAGCCGATATAAACAAGGAGCAAAATATTTCCAAACTGTGTAGGTAAAAAAGAAAAATGTAAATAGATTTAATCCATAATAATGCAATTGTTGACCCCGACGAAGGCGATCTTTCTTCATTTGCCCCCGAAAAGCACAATGTCCTCTATATTCTACTGCTACGCCATCTATTAACAACTGTCCTGATTTGCCTGTGTCCTGATTTGCCGTTTCTGACCTAGATTGCCGGTTTCTCCTTAAGCGAGGCAGCATCATATGTGGGGTTGACCCTTCAGAGTAGATCTAGACTCCTAAAACTGTTAAAACTGGGGTTAAAACTTAGCTGAGTAAAAAAGAAAATGACTATCAGTTGATATCCTCGTCTTTTAAATCAGGTTTATGAAAACTTAAAAAAAAAAAAAAAAAAAGAATAAAAAAACAGTTAAATTCCGTTTCTGCATTTCTGTAAAAATATAATTGGTAATTTGGACATAACACCTTTTTCGCAGCAACAATCTTGTCTAATTTCAAGGCGTTGACCAACAAATCAAGTTAGCTTGTCTTTGCTTGACCAGCTAATTCACACGATAAATCAGAATGCGTTATGCTATATATGCAGGGCTGCTTAGCAATTATACTAATTATAAATAATAATTTAGATGATAATAAAAAATACTTTATTGAATGTCAAACTAACAAAGCAGCCCGAGACCAGAAAAAGATTTTTTTAAATTAACTACTTTTTTATCAGCTTATGGTCTAGCTGCCATAAATTGCATCATTTTTTTTTTTTTTTTCAAAGTTGACAAGAATAATTAATGATAACAATATGCACTGGTCTTCTTTTAGAAGAAATTATAGGCTTTGGTTGCATTTGTATATAATTATATATTTTTCATTTAATCGTGTACATGTATGCGCTTTAATAAATAAAACATTTTTTTCCGTCACACTTTTATTTTGTGCCCTTTGTAGCATCTCCCATACATTATCTGTAACATCATCAGACTAAGTAGCTCCTTTCTTTTTCATCTGTATCCACCAATTGCTTGGTATCTATTTAATTAAAGATTGCCAATATTTCATACCTGCAGGCACATTATGTGCAAACAAAATCATAAACTGCATAGGCTTGTATTAAAGGGATAATAACTCTTCGTTTCGGCCAAAAAATGAATTTTCCTGGAGTAAACAACAATTTTCCCATACTTACCAATGGTTAATAAATCCATTTTTATATTCAAAGTTAGTCCCTGATTTTTTTTTCTAAAAAGTTTGGTTTTTTGTTAAAATCACTTAAGAGATTTTAACAGAGTATAGCCATCAATGGAGGTCACGTGGTCTAAAGACAAGCTCAGATATCAGAATAATAGCTATAACTGCCATTTTTGTGGTAAAACAGAATTATATATATTATATTTCTATGAGTTATTCACAATGTTTTTATTGTGAAATAAAGATCTCATACAAAGAGTTATTATCCCTTTAATTTAATTGATAAAAATATAAAGTAATATGTGACTATCATCAAAAGAAATTGTAAATTTTACTGATTCTTTTTTTTTTTTTTTAATTAATAAATTTTTAAAAATTGGGACAATCCTATTGAGTGCAGTGGCAGATTTAGAGGGGGGGTCAGGGGGGTCTTAACAACCCCTTCGGTTTCTGAAAAAAAATCACTCTAATATTCCCCTCTTGGAATTAGAATTTTGATTAGCTGATTTATAGTACTAAGGCTTCATTCACATGCAATGTCTATTTTCTAAATTCTATTTTCTATTCGCGGCATGTCTTATGATCATGGTCTGTGCCCTGAATATCCCGCAGCGTAATTACTGGCAGCGCGAGCCAGTTACTATAAGTTACTATAAGTAACTGGCTCGCGCTGCCAGTAATTACGCGGCGGGATATTCAGGGCACAGACTGTGATCACAAGATAGCACGAATAGAAAATAGAATTTAGAAAATAGACATTCCATGTGAACGAAGCCCTAAATTGTACCAAATGGCACCCAGTGGCACCATTCACCAAATGGCACCGATGGGGGGGGGTGGGGGGGTCAGCTTCGCATCCACGGGGCCCCCCCTTCAAATAATCCTGGATCCACCCCTGGAGTGGTAGCAACACAATTCAGAACAGCAGTCTACCAAATATTTTTATTCTATACAGTAAAAGCACCAAGCTGCTACATAGAAATGTATATTTGATGATTCCATAATTATATATCTGAAAAACTGATAATTTTCCACTATTGAAATGATTGTGCCATTATCGTGTAATTTTTTTTCACCCAGTGAGACCGCATTCACATCCAGTTGAGCCATGGCTCTACATGTACAAAGCCACAAACTAAATATGGCGGACGTACATGAAAGGAAAACTGCCTAATCTTTTAATAGTCTCTCCGCCTCTCACATGCCTCCCCATGCGTCCACCCTGGGGGGGTACAGTCATTAAATCTCGGCTCCATTGGGACGACTGGAATAACAGAAATTGGTTTTACCAGTAGTAGAGTACTGTTTTATATCCTTTCTTGTGTCAGACTGTCAAGTTTAACTACGTAGTATTACAGTCCAGTTTCAGTAAAAATTTGCCAACAATGCAATTACTATTTCACCAGTGTCAGTTTGACAACTCTATTTCAACTTCTGCCTAGTTCTGTAAAGGAGGTGGTTACTGTAATTCATGCGTGTATCTCTACGTAACACTGTAAATACAACAATAACATCACAACCCTGGCACATACATGTTATACCCATAGGCATTAGAATTATCTCCATGATAAACAGCCTCTGGAGCAGGGAACACATTACTGGGGTGTGGACCCCTAAATGAGGTTTCCATGTGCTGAGATCTCAATGTACTATCAGTGTGCTGAGGTCTGAATGTACTCTCACTGTGTTGGGGTTTATATGTGCTGTCAAACTGTTGACTGATGAATGAACTGTCCAACTGCTGACTCATTACCAAACCATCAGAATTCTCACTGTTGAGACTGTCCTCAGGATGTCGATTTTTATATAAGTCAGATTGATTTTTTTCCTTATTACAAGATAAACCCTTTCTGCTGGGTTTTCCCCCAGTGTGCTTCTTTTCATGTGTGTTACAGTTACTTTTTCTATTGAATGTTTTATCACAGTGTTTGCACCTATATGGTTTTTCACCAGTGTGAGTCCTTTCATGTCTACCAAGGGTAAATCTGTCACGGAATCTTTTTCCGCAGTATGAGCACACATGAGGTTTAATGCCAAGGTGGGTTTTCACGTGATCTCTCCAATTAGATTTTCTCACAAATCTTTTGTTACAGTGATCACACTTAAAAGGCTTTTCCCCCGTGTGAAAACGTTCATGTTCTTCACACGCTAATCTGGTTGGAAACCCTCTATCGCAGTACTGACATTTGTGTGGCCTCTCTCCAGTGTGTTGGGTTCTTTCATGTGATTTTAAAGTTGAACTTTGGGCAAAGCGTTTGGTACAGTACTGACACAAGTAAGGTTTTTCTCCAGTGTGAGTTCTTTCATGGTCTTGCCATGTTGTTCTATATGCAAATGACATATCACAGCTCTTACATTTGTATGGTTTTTCCATAGTATGATATTTCTCATGCCTGTTAAGAGCTTCTGTTCCCCAACAAGATTTTCCACAATGCGAACACTTAAATTCATGTGATTTATCATGTTCCACAAAATCATCTTTCTTGGTAAAAGATTGTGCACAATGTTTACATTTGAAACCCTCAACAGAGTGAATAGTTTCATGTGCCTGAAGTTGACTTTTCCAAGTGAAACTTTCATCACAGTGTGAACATTTGTATGTATTCATGTTCTTTTGTGGTATTTCACCATTGTGATTCCTCTCATGTTTGATAAGAGCTCTCGTTCCCCAACAAGATTTACCACAAAAAGAACATTGTAATTCATGCATCCTTTCATGCTCCATTAGTTCATCTTTCCTGGTAAAACATTTTTCACATTGCTTACATTTGAGTCTGTCGCCAATGTGAATACTTTCGTGTAAGACAAGGGAGCTTCCTCTGTTAAATGTTTTATCACAGTGCGAGCATTTGTAGATTTTTGTTTTGCTTTTATGCCCTTCCTCTGAGTGAACTCTCTCATGTTTGATAAGAGCTCTTGTTCCCCTACAAGATTTACCACAGTAAGAACATTTCAGTTCGTGGATTTTTTCATGAGCCATTAAATCTTCTTTCCTCATAAAAGATTTTTCACATTGTTTACATTTTAGTCTGTCATAAGTGTGAATCATTTCATGCATTACAAGTGCATGCTTCTTACTGAGAATTTTATCACAGTGTGAGCATTTAAATATTTCAGGTTTCTGGTTCAGTTTTGCAGTGTGGGTTTTTTCGTGCCTGCCTAAAGCTCTAGGCCCCCAACAAGATTTACTGCAATAAGAACATTTCAATTCATGAACTTTTCCATGCTCTCTCAGGTGTCCAGCTCTGGTAAAAGACTCTTCACAATATTCACATTTAAAAATGGTTTCCCCAGTGTGAGATCTTTCATGTAAGGCATGAGCACTTGCCTTACTGAACTTTCTGTTACAATGGCAACAATTGTATATTTTTCTTTGTAAATGTGTGGTCTCTATGTACTCATTATTTGTAGTGTTCTTTTCAAGCCTTTCTCTTTCTTCAGTATTTTCTTTAACAAACCCAATATCTATTATTTCATGCTTAATGATCATTTCACTGTCTTGTTCTTGACTGCTGGGATCATGTGTTTCATTGTCCTCATCACTTGTGTTAGGATCATCAGTATCATATTCCTCACACTTTCGACCATTTTGTATTTCTAACTGCCCATCAATGTGTAGAGCTGTTATTCTCCGTTTCATTTGCTGAAAATCATTCTTTAGGCTTACAAAGGTTTTCATCAATTCCAAACATCTGCCACAACAAACATCAGATTCTGCAGGAGGAGAAAGTATTTTTAAAAGCTCATGGATTTCTCTCTCAATATCTGGACAAGTTGACAGCTTTATATATTCAGCCTTAGAAGAGTCTTTGTGTGGGCCACAGACCAAACACCTGATCCTTTGTTTTCTATGTTTGCTCCTCAAATTATCAGTTATCTTGGTGTTATTGCACAGTGTATCAGTATCATGACTGAGTTCACTTAGATCATGCACTTTTACATTATTTTCAATGATTTCATCATCCACACTTTTATGGAGTGCCCCTTGTGGCATTTCTCTATCATTATATGTAGCATCCTCAGACTCCGTACCTTCTTTGTTTAAGGTCATTTCTTCTTCACCTGGATCAATACTTTGGCCATGAACAGATACATTTTCAAAACTTTTCTTTGATGAAGTGAGTGATAGGCCATGGGTATCTTTTTTACCAAGTGACTTTTCTTCAATTTTGCTCTTCTCTGGCTCAGACATTATTACCATTGAAACCAATAGCACCTGGAATATATTATGAAATTATTGTTGACACTGCAAATAAAAGATGGCTCTGAAGTCATATTTTTGCCATACAACCCATCCAAATGCCACAATACAGTTTTAGAAAGTATAACTTACAGAAATTCTACAAGGCGTCATTTCGTATTTCCCAAAAATGCTATTTGTAAAGGTATTATCCTCTTTTTGTCTGAGCCATAAATAACCCTCAGTTGTCGGCAACTCATTTAAATAATTGCACACGCAATGTGCCATATATTTTTAAGTAAGACTTATACAAACTGGAGGGACAAATAAATAGGTCATTTTATGACCAGAAATTAGAAGACAGTGCAGTTTTAAGCTTAAATGGCGGATAGAATGAATAATTTGGTCTATGCCTTGGCATGTCATCTTTATTGGATTTGTATAAGAAACTAAACAGTCAATATGCATTTTTGGAAATCCACCCATGCTTCATATGTTATTTTTTGAAAATATTTTAGTTTACACCACAGGTTTTGGAAAATGAACATTTCTTCAAAATGAAGATGATCTGTTTGTTTACTTAGTAGAATCATTTATAATGCTGGTGGTGTATGTATGTATACTTTTAAAATTTCGAAAATGTGTCCATTCTCAAACCACTTTTGCTAAACTGACCGAGTCAGTCTGCTTTTCTGAAGGGAAATAATCTCAAAGGCAGAATCAAGACTTCGTTCTAGATAAACTTTTTACTAGTACATGTACGTACTTATGCCAGGGCAATAAACTGATTTCATTACACTTAATGCGACTCTCTGCGTCTCTAAATATAATTGACCATGAAATGGCGCTCAAAAACACAAAGACTACCTTTAGATCTGGGGAATCCAGTGAAGTCTGCGGCAGGCACGTCCTTACAAGCACTTCTAGGCTATTTACTCTAGCTGTAGCTTCAGCATGTAAAATGAAAAGTACTAACATGCGATACTCTAAAATATTTTATTTCCTGTCGAGTCATTATGGACAAAAATCGATCGATCGATATTTCACAATTGCCAACACAAAACATTATATACATTTAAATATCTAGCACTGCAAGCTACCCCCTTTCACATTAAATATTCGTCATTTTATTCTGATATTAGCTCGTCTTGGTAGGTTGAATTTTTTATGTACAGACACAAATGTGTTTGTCGCCTGCGTCCGTCGTCGTCGCCGCTGTCGCCGTGCACTTTCAGCTTTATGCTGTTTATAATTTATTTTTCGTATAAAGGCATTTGCCCAGATAACAAATGTAAATGGTTCATATAACGTAACTATTGCGCATGCGGAGAGCTCATGTACGTGCACTATCCGTTGCAAAAAAAGATTCTCTTTTTCTAAAGGCATAATAAACATAATTAATCAGGTTAATCATCAAATCTCTGTCATTGGAAGACATAAGCTGTCTAAACCTTTGGATATTTGGTTGACAGGTGTACCTGTTTGGTATATATTTTGTTCTTAAGTCCCTGTACATCTCACATGTTAACAANAAAACCATTTTATCTTTTGTATTCAAACAGAATTGATGGATATTCATGAAATGCAGGTCAGGCTTGAAAACCAGCCCTATTTATTTGGACTGTTTTTATGAAAGTTATTATTTTTTTATTTTTTGCTTTTTTCAGCATATTTTATCCAATGTTATACAAATAAAATGAAAAAACTTACAAGAATGATTTACATACAGCTTAATTTATGAAACCAGCTTGATTGGATTTTTTTTTCTTTCTTGTTGTCTGTACATTTGACAACTTTGCTGCCTTTGTTGTTTGGCCTTTGCATGTGTTGTATGTATACATGTATGTGTAGGCTCTACTGAAAAATCACATACCAATCATTTGTTTTAAACTTAATTGCATAATATCGCACTGAAATTTATTTCTGCATATAGGTGTAGAAACAGCCTTGAAGAGGTGGGGTTTGGGGCTAATTCATCTTCATTTCCCGCCCCATCTTTTTAATGTTATTCACACAAGATGGACTTGACGGCATTAACCAATGTGTAGTTGTCCGATATTTTTACCATTTTTTTTTCGTTGTGAGACTTGGAATACAAAGTAGCATGAAAGAAAGAAAGAAATAGGAAAAAGCTAATGACAGAATGCTAGTTCCCCCAGTGATATATCTAGACCTTTTTTTCACAACAGTTTTTTCCACTGCATCTATTAATCTCCCTGATATCAAGAAAAAATACTACTTAATTTGCTCATATTTTTCTTTTTTAATTGTTAAACTTCAAAAGCTACAGGTTAAAAAGAAATAATTAAATACTTCACTTGCTCACACACACATTCCCACAGACCACTTTCAGATTCCCACACACCTATTATCTATGGACGTCCCTAAATTGTGCAATACAGCATATATATGATTGTGTAGATAAGGATAATCTCCAAGTTAAACAGCCTCTAGAGTACATTAAGTTAATGGAATGAGAACTCCTAAATGAGGCCTCCATGTGCTGAGATCTAAATACCGGTACATGTACTGTCACCATGCCAAGGTCTGAATGTGCTCCCACTGTACTAGGGTCTATATGAGCAGTCAGACTGACATATGTTACTTCAGTACAACCGTAAAAATTTGCCAACAGTATTTTATTTATATGCAACTGTTATTTCACCAGTGTCAGTTTGACTACCGTACTCCATTTCAACTTTTGCTTGGTTGTGACCTTAATTTATACGTATATCACTGTGTAACAGTAAACAATGTAATTCATGCAAAGATACATCACATCCCTGGCATGTACATATAAGGATTTGGGTTGTCTCCATGATAAACAGCCTCTGGAGTAGGGAACACATTACTGGAGTGTGGACCCCTAAATGAGGTTTCCATGTGCTGAGATCTTAATGTACTGTCAGTGTGCTGAGGTCTGAATGTACTGTCAGTGTGCTGAGGTCTGAATGTACTCTCACTGTGTTGGGGTTTATATGTGCTGTTAAACTGTGGACTGATGAATGAACTGTCCAACTGCTGACTCATTTCCAAACCATCAGAGTTCTCACTGTTAACACTGTCTTCAGCATGCATGCTTCTTTCAGATGAACTTTTAAATTTATTTTCAGATAACCGATGTTTTACTGTTTTCTTCCCTATGTGACTTTTTTCGTGTGTGTTACAGTTACTTTTTCTATTGAATGTTTTATCACAGTGCTTGCACTTATATGGTTTTTCACCAGTGTGGGTTCTTTCATGTCTAATAAGGTGAGTTTTGTCAAAAAATCCCATTCCACAGTAGGAACAAATATGAGATTTAATTCCAAGATGAATCTTCAAATGATCTCTCCAACATGAACTTCGAGCAAATCTTTTGCCACAGTGATCGCACTTAAATGGTTTCTCCCCTGTATGTGAGCGTTCATGTTCTTCACAAGGTATTCTGGCTCCAAATCGGCGATCACAGAACTGGCATTTGTGTCGTCTATCTCCAGTGTGTTGGGTCATCACATGTGATATCAAAGTTGAACCATTAGCAAAGCCTTTGGTACAGTACTTGCACAAATAAGGTTTTTCTCCAGTGTGAGTATTTTGATGGTTTTGCAATGATTTGATAAATTGAAATGACTTATCACAGATGTCGCATTTGAATCGTTTTTCCACAGTATGATACTTCTCATGCTTCTTTAGAGCTTCCATTCCCCAACAAGATTTTCCACAATGAGAACATTTAAATTCATGTGATTTGTCATGTTCAATAAAATCTTCTTTCATGGTAAAAGACTGTCCACAATGTTTACATTTGAATCCTTCAACAAAATGAATAGTTTCATGAGCATCTAACTGATTTCTCCAATTGAAACTTTCATCACAATATGAACATTTGTATTCATTCATATTCTTTTGTGGCTTTTCACCACTGTGAAGACTCTCATGTTTGATAAGAGCCCTGGTTCCCCAACAAGATTTACTACAGTAAGAACATTTCAGTTCATGAATTTTTTCATGCTCCCATAGATCATCCTTTTTTGTAAAAATTTTTTCACATTGTTTACATTTGAGTCGATTACCAGTGTGGATCATTTCATGCATAACAATTGCACCTTTCTTGCTAGATGTCTTGTCACAATGTGAGCACTTGTATGTTTTTGTTTTGCTTTCGTGACCTTGGCCTATGTGTAGTCTCTTGTGTTTGACAAGTGCTCTAGTTCCCCAACAAGATTTACCACAGTAAGAACATTTCAATTCGTGAATTTTTTCATGCTCCATTAAATCTTCCTTCCTCATAAAAGATTTTTCACAATGTTTACATTTCAGTCTGTCATCAGTGTGTATTCTTTCATGCATTACAAGTGCATGCTTTTTAGTAAGAATTTTATCACAGTATGAACACTTAAATTTTTCAATTTTCGTCGGTTTCTTCAGTTTTGCAGTGTGGGTTTCTTCGTGCCTGCCTAAAGCTCTAGGCCCCCAACAAGATTTACCACAATAAGAACATTTCAACTCATGAACTTTTCCATGCTCTCTCAGGTGTCCGGCTCTGTTAAAGGACTCTTCACAATATTCACATTTGAAAATGGTTTCCCCAGTGTGAGATCTTTCATGTGTAGCATGAGCACTTGCCTGACTGAATGTTGCATTACAATGGCAACAATTGTATATTTTTCTTTTTGAATGTGTAGTCTTTATGTCTGCATTGTTTGAAGTGTCCTTTTCAAGGTTGCTCTTTTCTTCAGTAGGATTATTTTCCTCATCAAACCCAATATCAATTATTTCCTGCTTAATGACCATTTCACTGTGTTGTTCTTGGCTGCTGGGATAATATGTTTGATTGCCACCATCACTGCTGTCATGATCATCAGTGTCCGATCCCTCACACTTTTGACTGTTTTGTATTTCTAACTGTCCATTAATATGTAGAGCTGTTATTTTTTGTTTCATTTGTTGAAAATCATTCTTTAAGTTAACAAAGGTTTTCATTAAATCCAAACATCTGCCACAACAAACATCAGATTCTGCAGGAGGAGAAAGTATTTTCAAAAGCTCATGGATTTCTCTCTCAATATCTGGACAAGTTGACAACTTTACATATTCAGCCTTAGAAGTGTCTTTGTGTGGGCCACAGACCAAACATCTGAGCCTTTGTTTAACATCTTTGCTCCTCAAATTATCAGTTATATTGGTATTATTGCCCAGCACATCACCAACATGACTGAGTTCATTTGGAACAGGCTCCTTTGTATTGCCATCAATGATTTTATCATCCACACTTTTATCCAGTGTCTCTTGCTGTATTTCCTGACCATTACCTACAGCATCCTCAGACTCAGTATCTTCTTTTTTTAAAGTCATTTCTTCTTCATCTGAATCAACATTTTGTCCATGAACAGTCATATTTCTAAAACTTTTCTTTGACAAAGTGAGTGATAGGCCATGGGTATCTTTTTCACCAGGTAACGTTTCTTCAATTTTGTTCTTCTCTGGCTCAGACATTATTACAGTTGAAACCAAGAACACCTGAAGCATATTATGAAATTATTATTGACATTGCAGACATGCTGAAAACTATTCAGAAAGGTCGGACATTTGGACCGGCAGTATTGAAAAATTTGCCGGACTGAATGGATTTTTGTCAGACCAAAAATCACCCTATTTGTTTGAAACAGATACTACCAGTATAATTAGGGTAGCTTACTTTGTTTTTGAATGTGATAGGTTTGAAATGGAAGGGAAACAAGTCAGCAAAGCTGTCAAATGTACAGACAAAAAACAGGAAATAACTATGCACAAAATAGGCTACTGTCAATTCTGATGCAAAAGTACATTGTGTTAAACTGCAAATTCAACATCAAATTTTAATTATGCTCAACAGGTAATACCAATGTAAGTAAAATGTGTAACAAGCATAAGGCTTCAGGCCCATGGGAGTTCAAGTTCACACTTTGAAAATGTATATCTTCCAGAAAAAGAAGCCAATTAAACTGCTTTTCCAACTCAGGCTGCATTTTAGTCCTGTATTTCTTTTTTGAAAGTTTGACAATCATAAGTAACATGGTTTTCCCATAATGGTCATCATGGCAGCAGCACCCAAAATTGTGTTTTCCTCTATTCTGATGCAATATTACATAATGTTTAACAGCAAAATGACCATCAATTTTTAATAATAAAATACACGTATCATGGATTTTCAGAAAATGTGACTAGCATGGGTCTTCAAGCCTGTGGAACTTCAAAGTCACACCTTGAAAATGCCAATATGTGAAAAATTAAATTTTCACAAAAAAATTGTTTAACTGGCAGCAAGAATTACCAAACAGACTGCATTGCCTACTGAAGCTGTATTTTAGTCCCATGATTCTTTCCTGTAAGTTTGAGAACAGTAAGTGACATGGTTTTTCTTAAATGGTCATCATGAGAGCAGTGTCCAAAATAGGTTTTTTTCAAATTTTGATGCAATATTACATAATGTTTAACAGCATAATGACCATCAATTTTTAATAATAAAATATTAGTATCATGGACATTCAGAAAATGTGACTAGCAAAGGTCTTCAGGCCCATGAAACTTCAAAGTCACAACTTGAAAATGCCAAAATGTAAACAAGACAGCACTGTTCTGAAATATTTTTTTCCATTTTTAACAATTTTTAACATAAAACAAAATTAACAGTTTACTGCCATTTTTATATGATCAACTAAGAAAATTGATGAGATGGAGAAAATATCAATAGAGCAGTATTAAATGTCCAATTTCTTCCATTCTGAGATTCTGAACATAGTGAATGATTGAATCTGACAAACTGCAATGATATGAGTTTATTTCCATTTTTGAAACTTTATTACACAATACACGATAACAAGTTTACCATCATTTTTACAAAACAACTAACAATGTTGTAAAGATGCAGGAAATGTCAATCAAACACTTTTATGTATCTTATTAATTAAATCATGAAACTGTTTACATGCCTAAGAATTGAATCTGAGGAAATGGGAAAAAACGGCATAACTTCTAAAATAATGGCCTGATTATGCTGATATTTGAACTCAACCTGCATTTTAGCAGGATTGACCACTCCTGTGAGTTTAAGAACAATTGGCCAATCTGTTTTTCTTATATTGTGTTTACAGTGTTGCATATATGCTGAAAAGTGAAAAAAAAAAGCATAACTACTAAAATAGTGGCCCAATCATGCCGATTTTTGAACTGAACCTGCATTTTAGTAAGATCGATTACTCCTGTGAGTTTCATGACAACAGGCCTATGGGTTTTCCTTGAAATGTGTTTACAGTGTTGCATATATGCTGAAAAGTGAAAAAACAGCATAACTTCTACAATAATGGCCCGATCATGCTGATTTTCGAACTTGACTTGGGTTTTATGAATATTCATCAGCTCTGTAAATATAAAGCCAAAAAGTAAAACTGCCTTCCACTTATCGTGTTTACAAGGAAAGTGCACTGCGCCGGCATCGGCGCCGACGGCGACGACAAATGCAATTTCCTATAAGATCCTATAGGACTTTTTCGTAAGGGTTCTACTAGGCATCCTTTCACATTCCCAAAAATGCTGTTTGTAAGGGTATTTTCTAACTTGTTAAAACACCCCAGGTTTTGGAATTTGAACATTTCTTCAAAATGTACAGTACACAATCTTTTTATTTAGAATCAAATTGCTGGTGGTGTATATGTATATTTTTCAATTTTCAAAAATGTGTCAATCCTCAACCACTAGTGCTTAACTGATCGAGTCAGACTGCTTTTCTGAAGGTAAAATAAAACTCAAAAAGAGAATCAAGAACTTGGTGAATAGCTGCAAAGCTAATGTTTCCTTTCCATTATACCCGACATAAAATAAATTTTTTTGTTTTGTATTGTTCCCTGGTTCTAGATAAGGGCCATTTCGTGGTATTTTTTTGCTGTTACGGAAGGACATTTGACACTTCAAATGAAAATATTTTAAAAAGTAAAAAAGGTCCATTTTTGTATGTTTATTCCTCTATATGTAAGTTATATTTAGGCAAAAAATTAGGTTTAAAAAATTATAGTTACGAAAAAATTATACTAAATAGTCAGCGTCTCGGAAGGACGTGAAATGGACATGGAATTTTAACTTTCAACTTCAACACTTCAACACTAAATGTAAGAAATAAATTATATGTAATATATTTAGCCTTTATTGTTTAAAATGATCATTATTATGAAAAATATATCAAAAATAAAAATTTCCTTCCGTAACACTATTTTTTAAGTTTTCCAGATAAAAGTGTCAATAAAATCATAATTAATAATCAAAACCTAAAATATCTTTTGGATCCTGGTGTCTCATGGTGTCTGGTTTCAGAAATTAGAAGTTTTGTAAGTAGGATTCTTTTTTTTTTTTTTTTTAATTTTGAGGTATGCGGACCAAATACCACGTAATGGCCCATAAACATTTATCTAGTACATGTACTTATGAACTTATGTATTGGTCAATAAACTGACTTCACTACACACTTATGCGTCTCTTTGAGTCTCTAAATATAATTGACCATGAAATGGCGCTTAAAAAGTCAAAGACTACCTTTAGATCTGGGGAATCCAGTGAAGTCTGCGGCAAGCACGTCCTTACAAGCACTTTACTCTAGCTGTAGGTAGCTTCAGCATGTAAAATGAAAATTACTAACATCCGATACTCTAAAATATTTTATTTCCTGTCGGAGAAAAATCGTTCGATTGTTATTTCATAATTGCTAACATAAAATATTATATACATTTAAATATCTAACACTGCAAGAAATCCCCTTTTACACTGAATATTCGTCACTTTATTCTGATATTAGCTCGTCTTGGTACCTTGAACTTTTCTCGGTTTTGCATTATACTAGGTTACGTAGACATTTATGTTCGGCTGAAAAACCATAAAACAATCATTTGTCTTTTATATGTATATAGGAACTGCCCCCCCCCCCCCCCCCCTATGATTTAGCTCGTCAAAGATTTAATTTCAAGAGGGGGACATTGCTGCGATTCTTTTTCAGAAATCAAAGGGGGGGGGGGGGGTCAGGACACCCTGACACCACTCTAAATCTGCCACTGGGTTAAGTCAACCCCCGTCTTATTGAATGTTATTCACGCGAGTTGGACTTTCTTAGACTCGGTTTTCTTTCTTTTTATTTATTTATTTATTTATTTTTTTATTTTATTTTATTATTATTTTTTTTTTTTTGCGTTTTGAGATTCAGAATAACATCAAATAAAGAAAAAGATAATGACAGAATGTTACTGTACATGTAGTTCATCCAGTGACATATCTATTTTTTTTATTACAGTTTTTTTTCCACTGCATTTATTAAACCCCTAATATCAAGAAAAAATAACTACTTTGCTCATATTTTTCATTTTTTATTGTTTAAATTCAAAAGCTACAGCTTAATTAGAAATAATTGAATATTTCACGCACTGACACACTTTCAGATTCCCACGCACCTATTATATTAGCCCTCCAAGGGTGTCCCTAAATTGCGCAATACGATGCAACACAGTGCACTTGACAATGCGAGTCCAGTCACAAGTTAATAAGGAAACTGTTATTCTAAACAAAAGAGAATGATATAAAAGCAAAATATATCACTATATAATTAATATCATTGATAAATATGATTTATATGTTGAGCTCATTTCATTTTATTATTTTTGCATGCCACGGCTATACGAAAATGGTACTTTGACATTCAAAATCAATTATCAATATAAATTCAACATTTACCTCATACATAGAAATTAATCTGAGAATAATTTGTTGTGAATACATCCACATTCTTGGCATATATGTATGATTGTGTAAATGAGAATAATCTCCAATATAAACAGCTTATTAAGTGCAGAATACTTTACTGGAGTGTGGACCTCCTAGTGAGGTTTCTATGTAATGAGGTTTGAATGTGCTATCAATGTACTAGGGTCTATATGTGCAGTCAGTTTTACTTCAGTCCAGCCAAAAAGACTTGCCAGTTTTTTTTTTCTCCAGTGTCAGTTTGACTACTCCATTTCAACTTCTGTTTAGTTTTATAAAGGAAGTTGTGACTTTAATTCATACATGTATCACTATGTAACACTGTAATTAATGCAAAGATACATCACATCCCTGGCATGTACATATAAGGATTTGGGTTGTCTCCATGATAAACAGCCTCTGGAGTAGGGAACACATTACTGGAGTGTGGACCCCTAAATGAGGTTTCCATGTGCTGAGATCTCAATGTACTGTCAGTGTGCTGAGGTCTGAATGTACTCTCACTGTGCTGGGGTCTATATGTGCTATCAAACTGCTGACTGATGAATGAACTGTCCAACTGCTGACTCATTGCCAGGCCTTCAGAGTTCTCACTGTTAACATCCCCTTTAGCATGCCGACTTTTTTCAGATAGACTTTCCACTTTATTTTCAGATGACCGCTGTTTAAATTGTTTCTCACCGGTGTGACTTTTTTCATGTGTGGTACAGTTACTTTTTCTATTGAATGCTTTATCACAGTGTTTGCACTTATATGGTTTTTCACCAGTGTGGGTTCTTTCATGTCTAATAAGGTGAGTTTTGTCAAGAAATCCCATTCCACAGTATGAACAAATTTGAGATTTAACTCCAAGATGAATCTTCAAATGATCTCTCCAACATGATTTTCTAACAAATCTTTTGTTACAGTGATCGCACTTAAATGGTTTCTCCCCTGTGTGCAAGCGTTCATGTTCTTCAAGAGATAGCCTGGCTCCAAATCGGCGATCACAGTACTGGCATTTGTGTCGTCTATCTCCAGTGTGTTGGGTCATCACATGTGATATCAAAGTTGAACCATTAGCAAAGCCTTTGGTACAGTACTTGCACAAGTAAGGTTTTTCACCAGTGTGAGTATTTTGATGGTTTTGCAATGCTCTTTGAACTCGAAATGACTTATCACAGATGTCGCATTTGAATCGTTTTTCCATAGTATGATACTTCTCATGCTTCTTTAGAGCTTCCATTCCCCAACAAGATTTTCCACAATGAGAACATTTAAATTCATGTGATGTATCGTGTTCAACAATCTCATCTTTCCCAGTTAAAGATTGTCCACAATGTTTACATTTGATTCCTTCAATAAAATGAATAGTCTCATGCGCATCGAGTTGATTTCTCCAATTGAAACTTTCATCACAATATGAACATTTGTATGTATTCAAATTCTTTTGTGGCATTTCACCACTGTGAAGACTCTCATGTTTGATAAGAGCTCTGGATCCCCAACAAGATTTACTACAGTAAGAACATTTCAGTTCATGAATTTTTTCATGCTCCCATAGATCATCTTTTTTTGTAAAATTTTTTTCACATTGTTGACATTTGAGTCGATCACCAGTGTGGATCATTTCATGCATGACCATTGCACCTTTCCAGCTAGATGTCTTGTCACAATGTGAGCACTTGTATGTTTTTGTTTTGCTTTCAGAATTTTGGCCTTTGTGTAGTCTCTCGTGTTTGACAAGTGCTCTTGTTCCCCAACAAGATTTACCACAGTAAGAACATTTCAATTCATGAATTTTTTCATGCTCCATTAAATCTTCCTTCCTCATAAAATATTTTTCACAATGTTTACATTTAAGTCTGTCATCAGTGTGTATCGTTTCATGCATTACAAGTGCATGCTTTTTAGTAAGAATTTTATCACAGTATGAACACTTAAATTTTTCAGTTTTCTTCGGTTTCCGGTTCAGTTTTGCAGTGTGGGTTTCTTCATGCCTGCCTAAAGCTCTAGGCCCCCAACAAGATTTATTACAATAAGAACATTTCAACTCATGAACTTTTCCATGCTCTCTCAGGTGTCCAGCTCTGGTAAAAGACTCTTCACAATATTCACATTTGTAAATTGTTTCCCCAGTGTGAGATCTTTCATGTAAGGCATGAGCACTTGCCTGACTGAATGTTCTATTACAATGGCAACAATTGTATATTTTTCTTTTTGAATGTGCATTCTCTATGTTTGCATTGTTTGAGTTATCATTTTCAAGGTTGCCCTTTTCTTCAGTCGGATTATTTTCCTCATCAAACCCAATATCAATTATTTCATGCTTAATGACCATTTCACTGTCTTGTTCTTGGCTGCTTGGCTCATGTGCTTGATCATCATCATCATGACTCATGTCATGATCATCAGTGTCCGATTCCTCACAGTTTTGGCTGTTTTGTATTTCTAACTGCCCATCAATGTGTAGAGCTGTTATTTTTCGTTTCATTTGTTGAAAATCATTCTTTAAGTTAACAAAGGTTTTCATTAAATCCAAACATCTGCCACAACAAACATCAGATTCTGCGGGAGGAGAAAGTATTTTTAAAAGCTCATGGATTTCTCTCTCAATATCTGGACAAGTTGACAGCTTTATATATTCAGCCTTGGAAGTGTCTTTGTGTGGGCCACAGACCAAACACCTGATCCTTTGTTTCCTTTGTTTGCTCCTCAAATTATCAGTTATCTTGGTATTATTACACAGTGTATCACCAAAATGACTGAGTTCACTTGATACAGGCTCTTTTATATTGCCATGAATATTTTTATCATCCACACTTTTATTGTGTGCCTCTTCTGGCATTTCCCTATCACTATATGTAGCATCTTCAGACTCCGTATCATCTTTGTTTAAAGTCGGTTCTTCTTCTGTATTAACATTTTGACCAGGAAAAGATATATTTTCAAACCTTTTCTCTGACAAAGTCTTTGATGGACTTTGGATATACTTCTCACCAGATGCTCTTTCTTCAATTTTGTTCTTCTCTGGCTCAGACATAATTACCGTTGAAACCAAAAACACCTGGAACATATTACAAAATTAACATTTTTGACATTGCAAATTAAAGATGCATTTGAAGTCCAAATGCCCCCATGTATATTCAGCAGCAAAACACATAAAAATTCTACAAGGCATTCTCTTTATATTTCCCCAAAAAAATTATATCTTTACAGGTACCAGATATTTTCTATGTTTCAACCTCAGTTGTTTTTGGCAACTCATTTGAATACCTGCAAGCACAGCAGTAATGCACCACACATTACTACATCACTTTTGCAAACTTTTATTAACTTGAGGTAACAATAATTTTGTCAATTTACAACCAGAAATTTGAAAAAAGTGCAGTTTATAGTTGATACAGCTGAAAGAGTACAAGTACATGGTTTTGGTCTATGCCTTGGCATACTGACTTAATTTCAGCCGAATAAGAAACTAACTGAAGTGTTTTATGATGCATAAGAGAAAACCAATGCATGATTCATGTGTAACTTAAAGTATTTTAATTTACATACCAGGTTTTGAAATATGAACATTTCTCTAAAAAGCAGATGATCTTTTTGTTTAGAATCATATTGTGGAAAAAATTAAAGATATGCTGTAAATGAATTTTTTCAATTTATTAATGTTTCATCCTAATTCTACCAGAGCTAAAATGGAAATAAATGGTGTATCTGGAAAACTTTTGCCTTAGTTTTCATCCTAGCATCCACCGCAGGCCTCATCGATCATGTTCCAATACCTAGATCTATCTAGCAGAATCAACCCATCTCCAAGGGGTTTCTCGCTAAATTGCTTTCAGCTTATGCAACTCTGATGTCTGACATGCCTACTGAAGCTGA